ACGATATCTGCTGGCGCTGCTCTGATTGCGTAATATAAACGTGGCAGTCGCCGGCGTGCCGCCACATCTAATGCATCTGCGTGTACGGTGTTATTGCCTTCCACGGGATTATTACCGTAATTGCGTTTGTTACGACTCTCTGTGTAATCCTTTCGACGACGTAATCTTTAATATATCATTGCATATTAGTCCGTGCGTGCACGCTCTCTCTCTCTCTCTCTCTCTCTTTACAATAAGAGCACACAGAGAAAAAGATTTCTTAGGATTTAATAAAATTTCCACAATTGAAGCAAATTTATCTCTTACTCTTACTCTTAATGGGACGAGCAAACGAATGTTTGATTCAATGAGCAGGATTATTTGGTTTCTCAAACTCGATTACTCTCTTTGCGCCAAATAACAGGTGTCTTTTGTATTTTCATCCAAAAATTACAATGATTGTCACAAATAATAAATTACACAATAACACTTTCTTCTCTGTAATTATAAACAATGCGCGGCACTCGTGTCGTTGCGTCATTGCTGAAAAATGTCTCATTAGTGTGCTAATTTTTTTTTTTAAAGAATAATTCAATAAAAATATTTAATAATACTCAATGATTAAGTAAAAATATATGGGAAGATGTAACAATTTAATTAATCCGAATATTAATAACACGCGCGAATTATTCCCCCCCCCCAGGTCGGCCAATGTATATCCATAAAACCATGGAAGTACCACGCAACAAGATGCTCTCCTAAATACATTTGTCGCAATAAATCGTCCGCTGCGAATCTTAATTAAACGGGCGTGTTAATCTTCGCACTGCATTTCCCTCTTCCCTCGGCGTGCGATGATTAACGACGCAACAGCGGCCACTTTGACATTTAACTTCTCGCACACCTGCTCTTTGTAACGTCACGGTAATTTATTAATGTTCATTACGACGCTTTAATTATCCCGGTGGAAGGTGGCGCGAATCGCAGAAATATCACGGCCCGGACGAACGAGATCGGGTGCGCTTCTCCCTCGTCTCAATTCAATGTAGCGAAGTAAGTTGCTGAAGAATCGTCACGACGGCAACCCCCGGCATATAAAGGCCGCTTTCAGAGCGCTCTCACACTTTCCCATCGCGGAAACGGAATTACGGTCCGACGCCTCTACGACGATGTAATCTCAACCGGATTAACATATACCCGACACTGTCCGTGAATCCGTCTGCGCACCTTAGATTCCGCGAGGAGAAAGAAGCCGAGGTGATGGACTGCGGAGAGCAAGGTCGTGAAATGAATAAAACTAAGAGAGTCGGAGCCGCAAGAAACGGGTCTTTGCGATTACCGGGCTTTTTCGTTCCTTTCGTCGTCGTCGTGGACGACGTTCTCGTGGTCGTCGAAAGGCGAACCCGAGTTGTATAATGAACCGCGGTGGTGTTCTCTCAAAAGCGTTTCCCAGTCGTTCGACAATGGACTTCCCCATCGTGCCTCGGATATACTTGTACGTCTCGCATAATAATGTCACTCCTTTGTGCGAAAAACGTACGACAAAGAAAACTAACATACATATTCCTCGATGCTTGCTGCGAGTAAAGCGAGCAAGCGAACGCGACATCTGATACGCTACGGGACAATTAGTATGCGCATTTATATATTTAATGCGCATGGATAATAAAGAATCATGCCGATATCCGATCGGATTTTGCTCGCGTAATTCGCATTTTCGCAGCGTTATAACTACCGTAATTGATGGCACATTATATTTCGCTCATTAGCGGCACAGGACTGAATGTATAATATAAGATTTCGCATTACGTTCGCCTTTATACTAGCGATAGAGTTTTAATTGCCGCGCACGGAGGACGGCATTATCGGCGATAACGCGTCTCGCACTCGCGTGACTGCGGGAGCCACGTTTAATTAATAAAATCATCCTAATCACCGGTCTTTTGCTAACAGCCGCACGAACATCTCGCTACCCGTTAGACCCGGATTTTACCCTTAATCACTTTATAATCAGCACGTCGAGGAGGCCAAGGCGAGCAGCGAAAGCGGTTTTCAGCGAACCGCTATTATGTTTCCAAAGGCGCCGTTAATGAGGATAAAATGTTCCACGGAACTTTATGCCACTCCTCGCGCCATCGAAGAATGTACCCGCCCGTGTTTACGGTTTCCCGATCAAGCGATATTCCTCCCTCCCTCCTTCTCTCCCGTACGGCATGCGATTCGTAATGGACGCGCAATGTCCTGAAAAATCATAATCCGGAAACCGGGAGTACGGGATAACGCGAAAATATCATATTTTTCCGGTACATCGGAGGACACGTGGAATCCCGAAAGCTCGCGGTGTCAAAACGAAGAATGGGGAAATATCCCGAAAACATATGGGCGAACACGAGGGAAAATCATATATTCGCGTGAGAGGGAGAGGAAAAAAAAATGAAAATTCGAGATTATACATACATTCTCATTCGACCATTCATCCGATTTCAATATTGCGATTCGTCGGGACTTTACACTGCCTCGGATATTGCGGAGGAACGATATTTCAGAATGATGAAGTTTCGGGACAATGTATTTTTCTGGCGCGCCGTACTACCTTTTTTTCATTTCTCGCGTTTTCTCTCTCTCTCTCTCTCTCTATTCCCCTTTCTCTCTCCCGGCACGCTGAAATACCGCGTGTCCATCCAAATCGTCGCGCTCGTATCGACGATCTCGGAAGTTATTTAACGGCCGCAGCGGGACGCGCGGGAGACGCGTCAGGAGGACTGATTTTTGCAAACGAGAATATTTGCGCGACGCGAGGCTCGGCCGGAAATCTGGTTTGCATAAAGTCCGCGCTAGATGTTCGAGCCGGATGATACGAGCGGAATGCGAGGGGGTCACGTGCGAGGGGTAGGTTCGAGTGGGAAATTTTTAATTTACTCTAGCGGATTTGCGCCGGAGCGCGTTATCTCGGCGCATTTTGTAACGAGCGTTGTCGGCGGTATAATACAGGTACCACGCTATAGGATGGATGAAGGCCCGCTCTCTCTTCTCCTCCCGCTTCCTTTCTGCTCCACGGCGACGCGAGACTCGCGCGAAATGGAGCTGGAGGAATCCGATTTTCTGGTGTTCAAGCCGCTCGGGCAGAAAATGACGTACAGAACTATTTCCGCGGAGGCGATCCAACCCCGGACTGACAGCCCCTTTTTCCCCCGGTTCTCCTAATGGAAATAATTACGGCCTGTTCATTGTTCACGCTGGCTCACAGGGTGGGGTGGTTTAATTTATCGACGATGAACTCACGCGAGGTCGCGTTTAGAAAAAAGAAACGAGAAGGGGAAAAAGAGCGCGAGAGAAACTCGATTTTAATGCCGCTACGGGAAATGGCATATGTGCTTTGAGATAAGTTACTGAAGACATGAAACGGTATATGAAAGAAATCGACGAGATAAGCCTGGTGAGAGAAAGCTGATGAGGCGATAGATCGATGGATATAACGCGGAAAAATTAATCAGTTCGAAGTTGGCTGCCCGATCGCACGAGATACGTGGGATATTGCAATTAGTTCACGTCGCGATTCACGTTGCGCGCGATTAATGCTATTTATCGTGCGTATCGTTGGTTAACATAGTCAGGCGTCGCGTATCCGTGACGAGATAGCGAAACTTGGGGTATGGAATTTCATTTTAACTGTAAAATTTAGCCGGCAAAATCGAACCGTGAGCAAAGTTTCCCCATTAATTTCTTCACGCTCGTACTCCGAGGTAATTAATTAGAATTATGAGAAAAGTTTGTAAAGCACCTGTTACGTGTTTGGAACGGCTTCTTCAGGATCTTGGCGAATACTACGCACAAATATTTCGCATTGACGCACGCACGCATGCACGCGTGCGCGCGCGGCATCAGTTCGACCGTTATAATATTGATGGCAGCCCGAGAAATATAATACATTTCGGCTGATATCCAACGTAAAATTTATCAGCATTCGCGCTCGAATATTATAATCCGACACCTGCAACTTTCGGAAAGTTATCTTCACCTCATTTTACGGTTCCTCCAAGTAATATCAAACTGCGGCTTAAGTAACAGAGTGATGGCAGAATGGAGAATTACTATTTATGTTAAGCTGCTGCAAAAGATTTATCGTGTTTCTCGAATAAAATAGAAAATAACATTATCCAATTTCGAAAAAATAATAATTTTTACAAATGAAACGAGCAACATCGATTCGGCATTTTTTTAGACCCCTATGAAGGACTTTCCATTTTCCTTCTAATGCCCAAATTTAACCCGAAAATTTGATTAAAAAATGTTTTACACCAATTTAATACATATATATAACTAAGAGATGAGAAACTGTTAATACACATCTTCCGAGCTGCGTTTCTTCCACCCGAAAAATTTCCCACGCGCCAATATTACGTGCGTATCGCCGCGTAATTAATAAAGTTTAGGGAACGACAGCGATCATCTTTACCTCGGAGCCTATCAATAATGGAGCGCGACGTAATACACCACCGGCGATAATTGCAAAGGAGGAGACGGGGGACGGAAGGGGACCACTTTTAATCGCCGTTCGTCTACACGGTAATCACCGGTACGCCCGAGCTCCTCCGGAAAGCCGCGATGACCCCTAATTGGCCACATTATTAAAATCGCATTTTCGTGATCCCAGCTGTGAGGGATCGTTCCTGCGAGCGAACGGCGATGAAGTTCCCTCGTAAAATAAATCACGCCATCCCCGTCGTGGTAATTCGGCACAGCCGCTTCTGCCTTACCGGTAATATTGGATATTTTCTTAATGGCGAAACTTCCACGGGCCCCGAATCCAGTTCATCCTCATGAACTCCCTGATAAATCGGTACACGATTCTCGATAGACCGTCCCTCCGTGCGCCTTCTCTCCATTTTCTCCATCCACCTCGCGCTTTCGCCGGCGTTTAATCCGGCGCGAAAGACGAAGAGACTACACCAAAGTCTCTTGAACCGCGCACAAAATGCATACTGCCACCTTATGTGAAAATATTTCTATCCTCGTTGCAGCCACTGCACCAGCGATTACATAGCCGTGTATTCGGGCCCGACGACGTCGAGCCCGTTGCTGAAGATGCTCTGCGGCAAGGAGAAGACGTCGCTGATATACGTCGGCCAAGAGCTCCTCGTCGAGTTCAGGTTGGAAATTTATTCAATGTGATTTATCGGGAAGCGCTAAGAATCAATTACTCTCGAATTCTCTCGTTTGTTGACTCAAGTTGATACTTCGTCGTTTCGCGCACTTGTCGGAAAGTTTATGCTATTTTACAGGACCGGTCCGGAGGTACCGCCTTTTGATTATAATGGCTTTGTCGCGACGCTGAGTTTTATAGAAATGACAACGGAAGCACCGACGACGGTTACCGTCGACAGCACGAATAAAAGTCGTAAGTAATGAGAAAGTCTCCGAGCTCGCTTCCGCATAATATCCAAAGCCAACGGCTATATCGACTAACCTAAGACCTACGGTTTTCACGTGTTTTAAATTAATCAAAAACAGTAATAAAGACTAATTCGCCAAATAATTCAGGCGTGAGAGCGGTTTAGCTGTTAAAAATAACGAGAGAAATGATTTTCATTTTTGAAAAAATAAGAAAATATAAGAGAAAGATTTCTTGTGATCAAGTTTATTTTTTTTTTTAAAGAGCTCAAATCGAATAAGTAAAAAGTGAGAAAAGTAAGCTTTTTCCTTAAAAGCTTAAAAGTTTAAAAGCGAGAAAGTGAGGTATTTCTAAATAAATGAGGAGATATGAGAAAAGTAAGTCGCTCCCATGCCTGTTAATTAGAACCTAAAAGCGGTCTACCGCGCGTCGTTCAATTCCCACGAGATTCGACGTACGGAATTTCTATTCCCGTACCTCCATTCTCTTCTTATCTATTCACCTCTCTCGTCGACGTTGCATCTTCATATCGAACGCTACGCGAGAACGACGCTAGAGATATGCTAAAGACATCTATTATACATTAAAATTCACACGCGCTGTTCGCCCTTCGAACTCCCCAGTCGAAATGATGAAGTCCGCCGGCAGCTACAACGTGCGGTACAACAATCGCGACCTCCACGAGCACCGCAAGGACCAAGGCGCCGTGACCAACAGCTGCGACCTCGAGGTGAGCGGCGAGAAGGTCCGAGCGGGCCACCACGACACCCGGGGCAAGCCCAAGTCCACGACGTGCAGGATCGTGCTGCGTGGTCGCGCTTACGACACCGGACACGTTTCCCTAGCCAGTTACAACCTCAGGTAACGTCTCGGACCTCCGAGAGTCGCTCGTCGAAACGCATGTGCGACCGCGATCGACCGGTGGCAAGAAAGTCAAACCCCTTGTTCTTTCTCGCGTTCCTCGACACATTGACATGGTGCCTCTCGACCGTGCCCCCGATTGCCCAACATCGGCTCGAGACCGAGCGGAAAGCGCAGTCACGTAAACGATGAGCGCGCGCGTTTGTATGCAGAATTGCATTTGTTTACCGTTTTCGATCGCATCTCCCGATGCCGGCGAATCCACGACGGGTTGCGATCGTAACTTACTCGTGACGCGTTGTAAAAATGGTCGGCGGTTTGTATCGTTGATTAATGCGTCAGCCATGCGGGTGCCATAAGTTCTACCGTTCGCGTCGACCGTAAGCGCTCCCGTCATTCGGAACAACATCGATATTAGGAGCGCGAGAGAGGAAAAGGAAAGACGGATGATTCCGAATAACGATAATGTTAATTTGATTTATTTACTCGCGTCAGTGCTTCTGAAATGGAAGGATTAGCCAACAAAGCTGTTGCCCAAGGGGCAAATGAATGAATAATGTTTATCGAAAGCACATTGTTCGTGGAGACTCCTTTTATGTTCCCCATAATGTGAATTGATGACACAAAATATCATCAGGACGTAACGGTTGATCTCTTGAGTACTGTGAACGCGTATATCTACGATCTACGAATTTCTTCGACTTACGCTCTCGAAATAAGCCATTAATAAAACCCGATTAAGTGAATAAAATATATATTTTTAAAACTAAGATTGCGGCAGCTATATCTCAGAAAATGAGTGTTTGTGGGCATATATTTATTAAGATTTTTTTTACTTATTATTTTAGAGTCTATTCTGTGAGTTTGTCGGTAGAGCTCATCCTGTATATTTTAATAACGGTAACAAATGAAATGTAATTTGTCTCGGTCAACTGCTCGCAATTCTTCAAAAAGTTATTTTTTTCATCGATTCATTTACGACAACCCAAAATATACCGTTTTTAGCGATCATTTAAGCGCTTTAGCGATCATTTAAGCGCTCAAAGGGTTAATTTTTGGAAATCCGGTCATTGCGCAACCCCCCGAGGTACATCCGTGACAGTGTACGCGGGAGAAGCGTTGTTCTCCGATCGTGTGCGCGTCATCGCGCTATGTTTCGCCCGTGAAACTCTTATTTCACTGTTAGCGGGACTCTCGCGTAACTTATCGAAATGGCGCCGGCGAGACCTCTTCCCGAGGCCGAGGAAAGTAGCATTAAATCATACGGGGGAACACGTCGTGCGTCCGTATCCCGGGGATTTTCAATTATCATGCACAATGCGGGCGGCACGCGGAACGCGTATCCGCGCCTTCGGAGATATGTTCGCGCCGGGAGACGGGACACGTCGCGAGGGAGGGATGAAACCACCGACAACGACGCGACTATGAGGACGACTAGTAACCCCCGACAACCCACCGCTTTCGCCCCCGACGTCATGCGAACACGCCGCTGTCGGCTGCGAGGTTCGAAGAGCGCGGATATACGAGCTGATATAAACTGAAGGTAACGCGCGCGCTTACCGGGACGGGGAGAGGGGCACGAAACGTAGAGCGAAGAGGGCTTTATTGAAGGTACAGCATGAATTTTGAACGGAATATTGTAAATCCAAGCGCCACGTGAACCGAGAAAGTATCCGCCCGCCTCCGAGCACAGAGGAATATCGTGCGTTCGTTCTCACCCACTACGGCCGACCACGCTGTATTTCTCCTCCTCTCTTTGCCCGCATTTACCGTACCCGACATCCGTGTCGGGTCTGCAACTTCCTCCCGATCGCGACGCGCCGCGAGATGGCTCGATCCGGCGCGTCCGCGGATTATTTCATGATACACGACATTCCAATTTTTTTTCGAGAAATTAGAGAAACAGAGGATTACGAGGAACGGGCGAGTCCGTGCGGATCGTTTTCTTTCCTTCTTCCGTTTTTCTTCGCGGAGCCCGATCGAATTAAGCCCACGATTGTTGAAACATGGCGATTACGTTCGTCCCTCGGGTTCTTTAGGAGATACGCCAGATCGATATTGCGATCCTGAGCTCCTTTGAGCTCCTTGCGGGAGGAGGCAGCCGAGATATCCACGTGAAATTTCCTCGCGAGCGGTCCACGAACGACGAATTTCCGAGGTCGCGGGAACAGTCGTGAAATCGACTGATGGTATGTTCGTATTATCGATTTTGCAGCGCGCAGTCCTGCCAGTCGGCGATCGAGATATTCGACGGCTCGCCGGAAAGTGGGATGCTCGATACCGCCACCACCTTAGAGAGGATCTGCAGCCCTGCGCAGTGGCTCCCGCGGGGATTCGCGGGTCAGGATAAGTAAGTGGATTCTCCGGTTATTATAGCGGCTGCTTGAGAAAGGGAGATACGCATACATATATACATATACGTACGTATACACACTCGTACGGTTTATTGGTAATGCATTGTAATTGTAAGTTGGCAAATTCGGGGATTCCTCGGCACAACTCGCGATGCGATGCGGCTTAAACCGAAACTGGTTAAGTCTCCTTAGAAACTGCATCAATATGGAGATTAGTTTCTAACTCGCAGCGGTGCAAGTCGGTTAACGATGCGACCAATCCTACGACGAACAACGCGGGTCCCGGTGGATGCAAATTTTTTTACACGACCCGCGCTTCCACGTCAGAACGCGGCCTTCTTTTTTTCACGCGCGCGCGTACACACAGGTGCGCACGACGACGTGTGCACCTTGAGGATCATGTTCGTTATAGCGCCGAGCATCGTATTATCAGGCAACGGCTGAACATCCGTGACCTCGTGAGCCTCACATCCCGAAGAGACGGGGTGAAAGATCGCGTCGGTGTGTGATCGTAAAACAACCCCGGCGGATCCATCACCGGTCTCTCCATTCGAGAGTCAGACAGAGCACGCAAAGCGATACTACCTCATCTCGCTCGGGAAAGTCAAAGTATGAGAGATGACTGTGCGCTCTCTTGCGTTGCATTCCGACGCGTATGTGTACGTATTTATGCCGGCGTACATGTCGAGGACGCGGGATGGTAGTTATCTGAAATCGTTGAGTACCACGGCGCAACGCGGTTATTCATGCAGAGTTATTCCAGAGGCGACGCCTCTTGATTCTTCGAATCGGAAACTGCCGCGAACTGTACGAAATGAGAATTCGACGAACTTTTCATGCGGCGACCGCTTAATTTCGCGTACTAACTCCATTAATTTCGATAAAAAGGGGGTTTCATCATCCGCCATCTTTCGTATATTCTTTGAATGAAATATTTAATAAGAAGATTGCTCTATTTCTTGATCGAACCAAACGCGCAAATTTAATAGACCTTTAGAAGCAAAGCACGAGTGTTATGTTACAATATGAATATTAATATTATTAATATTAATATTATTCTGAGATAATTAATAATATTGTTCGGGATGTAACGCACACGCAGAATATTCTCAATTGAACGTACGCAGCAAATTAATCCTCCATGCTTAAATCCTTGAATCTCAAATAATGTTATAAATCCAATCTCCTGGAAAAACCCGTTATTATACTTAATTACCTATGTTACCTAATTGCTAAATTAGTCAGTGAGCAATGTTTTATTCTGTCTATTATGTTGCAAAAAATACTCAGCCAAGGGTCAAACCTGGATATTCCCCACTTCCCGCGGCGGGATGTTTTTACCTATTCTGCCGAGGCTTTGATATTACTTTACGCAACAATCGATGTTTTTAAACCAAACTAAACTAAATTATGACACTCGTGTTTTGCACCTTAAAATGATTTATTAAATTCCTTCGTTTCATTCTTTGAAGGAGTTATGTCGATTTTCAATTTTGAATTCTTTCGATAAATTAGGGATTTTCCCTTTCTTCTTTTAATTCGGCCTTGCTCCAGAAAAGGTGCACGGGTAAGGTTCTAGGTCGTCTTTTATGTGTAAATATACCTCGATACCGTATCGAAATGCGTATTTTACGATCATGGAGTTCTCGCGCGTCGATAACGGCGCGGACGGAATCGTAAGACTCTAACTACTTACTCCATTTTTCCTCAGCTGTTCCCAGTTATGTATAATTTCGCTGTATGGTCGCAAGACGTATATCCATAAAAAAGTGTAACAAAACTTTATGGGCGTAAACTGGAACAGCTGGTTGCGCACGCAGTGTTTCGCTCGTAACGTTCCCGTGATAGCGTGATTTTTACGAGGGGCATCCTTCGATTACACGGCAAACTCTTTTAACGTTAATTAAATCGCGCGAAAAATAATTTTCGAGACGCACGAATGAAACGTCCACGCTCTCGCGTGGATTTTACGCGGGCATTAGCGCATTTCGCGAAAAAAACCAACGGCCACATTTTATGATATTCGTCCAATTTCCCGTTTATTCCATACCCGTTTGCATCTTCGTTCGACTTTTTGTTTTGCGCAAAGTACGCGATATTCCGCTATAAAAATGTAACGTACATATATGATATGTGCTCGTTACCGAACTATATACGCTGGTTTACCGCGCACCGTCCATATTAAAGCATCGGTTTTACGAGAGTGGTTTCTTCGATGACATTATAAACATTTTAATTCCGCATAATTGTGTGTTACAGTCGGATTTTTGAATCCCGCGGATTCAATGTCGCAAGTGTACAGCTCAGCTCAGCGTTGTTTTGACCAAAAGAAAAATGGTCCCTCTCTCTCTCTCTCTCTATATATATTGTTCGTTCGCGTATCATTTACGATACAAATTCTTGCGTACGCTTGGCCGAAGTTATTACGCGCGAAGCGCGCGCTTTATGGACGCGGTTCCTTCGGTGTCGTAAACATTTAATGCCGATCGATTTACTGGCGCGAATAATAATAAATGCGAGCGCGTGCTAAGCGTTGATAGAATACTGGTTAATCCGTTTAATCCTCCCCCCGCTCTACAATTTATGACTTGCAGCATTTGATCGCAAAATCCACGAAGAAATTACGTGAAAGCGCGAACAGATAAAAATTCGGAAGATTAAAGCTTGCATCGAACGTGAATAAGCGCTTCATAGAAATTAACTGCGTGACGAGAGAAACGGTAATAGAATTAAATACGCAACTGACGAGAATAAATTCTCCCAAAGCAAAAAATACCTGAAGTGACCGTGTGTAGGAAATAACGTAGGAAATAAAGTTTTATCAAATAGCGCGTAAAATTTATATCGGCTGTTCCTCACGTTTCATCTCTCGTTCCCGAAATTATCCGCATCCGTGTCATTAAGTGATAAATTACCGTAGCGTAAATTTTGAATTCATAATACGTGCTTCCTCTGGCAAAGCCGAGATATCGATATAAGAATGAGACGCTTGATAAGAATTCAAGGGAGGTAGAATGGAGGTCATATCAAATGAAAAACGTGACGAGAAAGATATTTGAAGGAAGATTTTTAGCCATACATATTGAGCAGCGACGTAGTATGCGAACCGGCTTGCATCCCAAAATTCTCGATTCCTCGGAACCTTATTACAACCGTTATTCGACCGAATTTCGAGACTTTATCTTCTCATCGTTCGCCGCGCGTAAAATTACAAGCACTGTCAAAACAACGCGAAACGCAGCCCGATTACGTAATAACAGTAAGACGAACGCGCTTATAAACTAGGAGAAAATGAAGAAGAACGCACGAGTTCGAAAGGACGAGAGAAAAAGGATTTCCCTATCCCTATCCCTGTATGCAGGACAACTTCGCCGACGGGAGTGTCAAATAGCGAAGCCTCTGGAGACGAGATTGACCAATCGGCCGTGGAAACAGCACGGCGTCGCGGAAGGATCGAGCGACGACAAACAAAGGTACCACCGTGATTCCTCGGGAGGTTGGAAACCGGCGGTGACCCGCGAAGCAGAATTCCGCCGGTCACATCGGCCGGTTGGCCGACCGATGCCGGAAAGAGACGGGGATAAGTGCAAAGGGGACTTTCGAGGTGGCGACGTCGTCGTCGTCGTCAGAGTCGCGGCCGCATGCATTATGCAAGCCGTGGGAAATGGACGAACGCGAAATGTCTGACGCGGGTGTAACCCGATGCTCCCCTCCCGCCTAGCCGGCCGCCGCATCGGGGATGAACTTGATGCGGCCGGTGCAAAAAGAACGAGCCGACCAACGAACGGCCAAACGAACGATGCGCAGGAGGGCTAAGAGATTTCCCAGAAGAGATTTCGAGGCGCCGCCGCCGTCGACGTCGCCTCCGCCACTACCACCACCACCATGTTGGCTCCCCGATGGAATACGATCGATTCGCCGGGCTTACGCCCGACTTCGCTCTTCGATCCGAGGATATGCGCGGTAAAAAGCCTGAAATATTGCGATAACGTCGCTTCTCGCACAGATGTCTCGCGATTCGGTAACTCCGGCTAAGTGGCTCCGGAAAATGAACTGCGACGGTCGAAGGGATGGGAGCGTGTTACTTTGATTTAGGGCTGGATCTCGCAGTGGATACCAGGTCGCGTCACGTAACACGCCCAGCCGTTTGATGAATCAGCGAGGCCCTTATAGATATTGAACGCAAAATATCGCACGGAGGGAATATCACGACGAAACAGTTATGGCTCATCTTCTGACGGGACGTAAAATTCACGAACAGTCTCGCGACGACGATCGATCCGCGCGCGCGAATGCGTTTACAAAGAACACGACGACTAGTTCGTGACTGAAGAGAAATATCGAGGAGGCTCGGATGGGGTAAACAATCCGTAAAAATGAAAGGATAATAGGAACCGTCGCTGAATGATTTAATACTGAATGAATCTTAGCGGGAAGATAAAATTGTACGGGAAGTAAATGTACATACTGGGTTTATTTTCTAGGCTTTAAACGCGCACGTGGGGCACTTTTACGTCGGATCGATTCTTTATTCTGTGCGATTAATATTCTTAAAAATAAAAAAAGAGGTCTAAGGTTCCCGAAATTAACAATCAATAAATACAGAAAAGGAATCACTGACAATATACGAGCCAGTGTATGAATTCAACAATGTAGAAATAGGAGAAAAGATATTGTATTCAAGTCAGACTGGCTCGCACATTGCCAGTGATTTTTTTCCCATGTCTATTAATTGTTAATATTCTTAGTATCAATTATTCCTTTCTAAATAGCCCGAACCTCGTAGAAAATTTGTAGTAAGTGTTACTTAAAATAGGAACTAATTCGTGAGTCGCTCGCCGAACAGATCGCCGCGGAGTCGAAGGAGATCGAGAATCACACGCTAGATCGTCCACGCGGTGCCAACGGAAATCGCGGAGCTGCAACTCGCAGACGTCCGCGGGCTTCCGTTCGGCCGTAAAACGAGGGTGGATCGTTTCCGCTTCCCGGCGCAGAAAGAGCGATATTCGGCGGCGGCGTGCGCCTTGCTGACGCCACTCTGGCAGTTTTTAATCTATTTTAATTTCTAACGTTGCGCCAGCCGGCCCCGAGACGATTTATGCTTAGCAGCAGCCCGCCCGGATGCAGCGTACGTACGTGCCTATGGGACTGCCGCGTGTTTTATGTCGGCTAATCTCGTAAAAATTCATGCGAAATAACGCCCGTGCTTCATCCGCCTCGCACGTTTTCTGCCGGCACCCCCGCTACTCGCCGAGCACGTTTCCCATCGCGCGTCCTGACCCGCCGAATTTCCGCCAGTCGCCTCGCCTAACGCGAGAAACGGTATTAACTTCATAAGACGATGCAAGATAAAGAAAGAGGTTGAGAGGCCGGTTCTTAAATGAAGCACGGCCGAAGCAGAAGGAGTGAACCTAAAAAATCTCGCCGTGTTAGAAGATACAAAGGACAAACTACACGGACAAGGACAAACTACATTTCACCTGCCGGCGGCAGATGAAAATTTTGCCGCGACAAATGCAAAAATCGGTATGTTAACCCTAGATAGTCACTCTTATTTTCGAGTCTTTAATTCGTCATATTCCGGTCCGCGAGACCGCTCGACTTCGTTGCCTTGTCATTTCCTTTCTAATTAATACTTTTAAACTTGTAATGCGGGAGTTGGAAATGCAGAGTCCGAATAAGATGTTTATAATATCGGGTCAAGAAAGTGATTTGGGTTTAAACTAAATTTATTTATTACAAGAAAACGTGTGGTTTCGAAAAAAAATGCTCAAGTGGTTTTGCAAATACAATTAAAAAAAGTAATATGTTCGTTTATTGTAGTAGACACTTGATATTAAAAAAAAAAAAAAACGGTACATCATGTGAAAACTAGAAAATCGAAAAATGTTCCGGCCCACTGAACCAGAATGTGGCGCGCGCGGACTAGGGTTAGAATAATTTTACAAACGTAACAACGTAGAACAGAAATGATGACAGGATAAGCGGAATGTAAACGGACACGTATCGGCGCGAGATAGGAGCGTTGTCAATGCGAACGGGATCAGAACGAATCGACGAAAGACATAGCGGAAAGGTACAATCGTACTTTCGTTTACCGCGCGATATCACTGAGGATAGAACAAAGGTCTAGCGACGTGGCACGTCGCTATTATTCAAGCGAGTTGCGCGGGGCGCGCTCTATTTAATCTCCGCTCGTGCATGGACGAGATACATTGAGGATCAATCTGGGATAGCCATCAAGTAATTTAATCTTCACGCACGTCATGCCCAACTAAAAGCTACCTGCGTCTGCCTGTCCAGGGCAGCCAATGAACCAGCACAGATCAAGCGTATCGAGCAGTCGCTTTATCCCGCGTTGATAAAGTAAACTATCATTCGTGCAGGAATATCGCGGTTTTGGATATAATTATGCCGCTTTGTAATACAGTCAACAAATAGACGGGGGGATTTGTAACTCGTACTCTTCTATTGCAACGATTCTCCGCGAAGCACCACGCGCTCGAGCTGTTTAGCATGATTCACGTAATTCGCAGTGCGTGAATTCTTGGAAAATACAGATGTATGTATAATTTCTCAACGTGAATTAACAAATACGCGTGATTAAATCGTGTGAAATGTGCAAGAGAATTTATATAATTCCTATAGAGGGAGTTACTCATCCGGATATTTTCTCCTACAATGTAAAATTTTGTGTGTAACTATAGTGATGAAAATTTCAGCGATATATTCCTGTTCTCTCATTCTCGAATCTCTCGATTTTGTTTAATCTCTTCAGATATACTGACACATATAAGCATACATTTAGATACGTTTAATATTTTTTAATTCAAACATAATCGACAAAGATATAATGAACGTTATCGTAAATAAATATTCACCACAAAATTTCACAGGAAGAAAAAGAAATATTTCGTGATTTAATTAACAGTTGATTGATTGATTGTTATACTTATATCTCTTTAAAATAAAAGTTTAGAATCAACTTCTTCCGGCGAGTCATCAAATTCATCCCTGAAGAGGTTAACAACAGGAGAGCGATTTCGACGGGACGATTCGATCATGATGCACGTGATCTCGACAGAGTTATCCGAGTAAAGTGTCAAACGTCAGCAAGCGCCGAACGCCACGCGCGTTGTTCGTCAGGCGGAAAAGTTGCTACGGTGTTGGAAAGTCGACGATGTAACTCCGCGCTCATTCGAGCGACAAAAGGCGATCCTCTCGCGGCGCCGTGAGCAGAGCGGCGAGGACGGCCCGATTTATCTTGCAAAACTAACTCATAGGCAATTCTCTCGTGCGGACTATCGGGGGCGGCTCCCAAGACGTCCATTTACAACTTTGCCCGGAGAAAATAGAGTCTTACGTGCAAGATTTACATCCTGCTTTGTCCCGGCGCTGCCGTTCATGTAACTTGCGGAAGCACCCTTTCGCAGCGGGGCGTCATGCTCACCCCCGCGCATAATAGTCGTGAATTAATAATTCGTGTCGAAGTTCCCTGCATGCCCTAAATGTCCCACGTGAAAAGTGTCACAGATCTTGCGCGGTATATATATATATATATATATGTATGTAACATGAGCGAGTGTCGAATCGATCATTATTCATAGTGCGACCCGAGCAAACGTGAATAACGTCTTTGTTCCTTTCTACTGGGTACACGAAAGCGAGGCAAAATCGTTCGGCCACCTTATCTCTCGATCCGCACATACATTTCGAAAATGAATGAATTTTCACGAGATAAGATTGCTTCGCGAGAAACCGCTCTTCTTTATATTTATTAATACTTTCGCTGTATATCATAATTCATTCGAGGTACCCTCCTCATATTTTCATTTTTTTTACATAACTGTGTGAAACACAGATTTAGACCAGTATTTATAGACTAATTTTATACTTAAAATCGCCTTAAGTTAATCTTCAGATATTCCGTAGCTGATAAAACGATTCGTACAGTATCTGAAGATAAACTTAAGAAGTCGCTCAACAATACGTAACCACGCCACTCAACAAAACGTAATTGTAGAATTCCCTTCCTTTTATATGTAAGACAATCTTACACAACCTTATAAAACCTGACTATGAATATTGCCCTTAATTCACGTAGCACAGAAAGAAAAATTTGTCACACATGTGTGACGCTGGTAATAAACGTGTTAGTTTACGGAATATTTCGACTGATAGCAGATTTTGACCGTTTTTTATCGATTTAACTTAGTTGCGATTGCGAATTGAACATTTTCAAACTTTTTCCGGTTGATGAAACAGTCTGAAAATAGTAGGAGTATAATATTCGAGTACCACATATCTGGCAACGGGACGTGGAGATTAAAACATCGCCCGCCCCGTTCATCAGCCATGTTCGCGTTGTCACTGCTTACGACGCACTTGGCGGCTGCCGTTCGATTTATATCTGCTTCCGGAACGGCTCTTTCGCGCGCTCTCAGAGCGTGGGAAAACCATCCCCTCGCTCACCGGCTCACCGCCACTCACGACGTCCGCGTAAATGACGTTCCCTGTTCGCGTTTCTTCCAGGTACGCCGAGCCGAAGCGCTACTCGTCCAACGGCCGGGACATGACGGTGGTTTTAAGGCGTGCCTCGAACAGCCCCACCGACGAGGAGTATATGGAGGTCTCGTACTACTTCCACGACGGTAAGCCGTACGTCGCGCGTCGTCGTCGTCGTGCCCGTAAAAAGAGCGTCGTCGTCGTTGTCCTCGTCGTCGACGGCGACGACGATAGAAGCCCGAGTCGCGTAAGCGTGCCATAGTTATCGCGGACGCAAAGAGAAATAAAAGCTTGCATGTCAGAAATTGGATTATGAAGCGCATCCGCCGCCGTCGCCGTGGTCGCACAATCAAGCCCGCGTGTAAGCACCGCGAAATCACAAAAAGCTAGTGAACTTTTTCTCGCGGTGTTCTATCGCCAGTATAGTCTGCTTTTTGTTCGTCGTTACAAATTACGAACGCAATCGTGTTTCTTTACGCGCTTCCGAGGAGCTTTTTCATTTGATGCGCCCGAGCGGAGGCTTAAAAAAGATCGTGCAATACGATTTATGTATAATTCAGTGTCCTTCGTCCTTCCCTAAGCACCGGAAAGGTCTCCGAACAGTAAAACAGAAATTATAGTGAGTATTAAAAGACTCGATATTTTCTAAAGCGAATATGATGATATTCCTCCGTTCTATCAAGGGTATGTTTCGTTAGATGTGTCGAGAATATCCTTTTTAGTTGTAAAGTTAGTAGTATTGTACCTAATCTTGTTGTATTTCGCACGCTGGGTCTTCGATAATTGCTGTCCGGTATTGCTGTTTGCGAAGCGCGCGCGAATGACGAGACTCTTTATCGAGCGGCTGATTGTCACGAGCCACGATGATAGCATCAGTATCATTTTCATAATCGGTACAATTTCGCGCGTCTCCCACGGCCGAATTCGCGTTTTTGTTCGCAGCTTTTCGAACGGCCGACTGCGGTGCGACCAAACCGCTAATTACGAGTAACTAATTACCGTAAATACGCCTCGACATATCGATGTCAAAGCCTCGGTCCCCCTTAATCGGATGAACATAGGCACGTCCGGACTGGTAATCCTGAAATTCGCTTGGCACTCAGCCGAGGATCCCGGTTGGCTGCCGGAGGACACATTCGCAATATCGACGCGACGCCGCAAAAACACAGCGGTCGCGTTTAATCCCGTTTCAAAGATTAGATTTAACCCCGATTAAGTAGCTACCGAGACCTTTCTTGGCTAGGCAATTCTGGAGATTAAAATGGGACCTCGGTTACATTACGCTCACTTGGGTTACTCGTAATTATTCGCGGTCGGATAATTCTCTCGCGACTGTTACGACTATTTTGTTGCGCAAAACCGGACCATCGCGAATGAGAAGCTCGATGGCGCGCGACAAGCACGGAGCCCGAATTTTCCAAATGGAAACGTCAGTAGTGTAGCGCGTTCGTTGTTTAATTTTCCACGCAAAACTCAGTGCGACGTATTCTTGCGAATATTCGCAAAATAATTGCCTCAGATATGGCGTTACGCGTGATGCCGATTAAAAGATTTACAGAATTTGTCCGAATGAGCACACCGGACCGGTCGTCTTTCTACGTAAATTTACATTCTACCAAAAATCGGAAATTAATATCGACCGTGCGTGTTTTCCGCGAGCGAGCTAATAGCGCGGGAAATAAAATTTTAGTGGGCGAAAACAAAAACACTGACGCGCGGCAATGATTGAATTTTGATATCGACGAGATTTTAAACGTCGGTCAAATTTTACGGCGCATCATATCGACATCACATTCCCCCGCTCGGGGGCGGGGATTTTTTACGCTGCCTATGAAACGGCTACCGTGCGACAACGCGGCATCAGCCCAGGGCTGCACCGATCGTACAAACGAACGACACGCGGATTCAATCACGACCGTTATTAAAAAAAGGCGCAAATGACGAGAATCAAAAGTCGCCGCGTCCGGACGTGCGACGACAAACTGCCGACGTCGATTGAACGATGATTGACGAGTGACCGGTGTGTGTCGACGATCGACGTTATTACGTTTACACGTGTTACACGTGTTACATGCGCCCGACGCACGCATGCGTGCGTGCATACCTTCGTACGCGATGTATCTTCGTGCGTCGCGCTGCGGTCGATAAGAGACGGTTCGACGCGGCCGGCTATTTTGGGTCTTAAATAACAGCGTATTTAAACGATAGATAAAACGCGCGCTGACCGCGCTTGAATCACCTTCGACTACGTCCGCCGGCCTTTTATTCCGCGTCCGTAGCGGCGTTATCCCGCACAAAGCTTCCCGGTTTCCGTCGCGCGTGTGCCTTTTTTTATTTTTTTTATAGAGCACCTCGGCGACCATCGAATACGGAGATCGAACGTTTTCGGTCTCTCGGAATTCCCGAGCCTACCTTATCTCGCGCTCGAGAGTACGATCCGCCGGAACATAAAACTTTATGCGACCCGGGGAGACCGATTTCCTACGACGGGAAGGGTCGAATTCAGCCCGCTCGACCTCGAACCGCGGCGAATAATCATGTGAAATTGCCGTGTAAGAAACGGAATGAGGAAATTCCGTCTGCATCGGGCGGACTTCGGCGAAATAAAAGTGCCCGTAGGCGTTGATCCCACTATAACTCGCCAAGATATATATATATATATATATATATATATGTATCTCGCGCTGCGAAAGAAGCTCTATCTCTCATAGAAAAATTATTCCAAAAGGCACGAAATGTTCCGAGTTCCGCGCGCGAAAGTTTCGGCGGCCGATGATAAAATGAGAGTATCTTAAACGCTTAACTTAAACGTATCGTTTAAATCTTCAGTTCGATTGCTGCTGCGAGGTGTAAATTGCAAGACGACGCATGCCTCGACACCTCCATGAACAACACATTTTTGTCTAATGCTGCAGAACGCGAGGGTGGCACCCAGCAGCCGGCCAGTGTGTGCGACGTCGAATATTACGGACTAACGTCACCGGTGGAAGGTTCGGTGGTGCATCCGGAACCGCACCGATTATTCGCCATGGAAGGCCCGGTGAAGTGCAGGCAGCACTTTATACCGGCGCCCAACCAGTCGGTGGTCATTACAGTGAGTTCCCGACGAAATGTTTAATCTCTACCGTGCATTTAATCGGTCGCGGGAATTGAATCCGTGAATTCGCTCCGGGGGTTGAGGACGCGCGGCCGCGGATGAAAACTTTCGCATTAGAGTCACTCGGCTAAAGAAGAGAGCGTCACACCGTCGAACACTCATCGGGACGCGAGCGAGGATTTTATTCCGCCTTCCGTCCGAAAACTAAAACTTTTAATCTGCGTTCGGCAAGCGTGGCGCGAGCGCAAAAAGTCCCCCTCCCCCCATTCTTCCCTCGCACCAATCTTTTAATCCACGTTTAAATAATATTCCGTGGAGACGGGCCCCCGAAGGCGAAACAACAGTCCGACGAAGCGAGTTCCAGCGACTCTCGGAAACGATTAAATGCAACGATTGAATTCCTCGCGGAAGCAACCAACTGTAATCCCGTGCTGAGCGATACCCATCGCATTCGCGTTACGAATTCGTCGCGCAAACAAGGGAAGTCGCGCGACTTTAATCCCCCAAGCTCTCACATAAATTGTCTTCGCAGTAACATATGCAGCATCTCTCAAAACTATCGTATGATCCCGAGGCGAAACTTTTGTTCTACGTTAATCTCGCAAATTCCACAAATACTAAGTAATCCTCTGAAGATTGGTAAATAAAATAAAATTTTTATTTTTCATAATCTGTTTTCTTCTTCTTAAGATTGGAAATTTCATTAGAATTTGAAGATTCAATAGAGAGATAAAACGAAAAACAGTTGCAAAGACATAGTAATTGTGTGTCCAGAAGTATCAAGAGAGAGTTAAACCTCACTTCAGTACATTAACGAGGCTAAGCAGACGTGAAAACATTAGAAGATTCAAAATAGGATTTGCATAACGATTTGATAAAATTCTGGCATTTTGGGAAAATTCACAAATCGCGAAAATATCGCGTACCGAAGATCACAGCACAATCTGTCGAATAAAAGCGAGAGGAAAAGAGGAAATATTTAATTTCGCAGATGATTGTAATATTGTTGATAAATGGGATATTCGTTCCGCGAGATTTCTGATTTTGTAAAATAAACGATAAACAGATATATATTGAATTCAGAGAATATTCGCGACGGCAAGTTACTATGTCACTTCAATATACACGTATTGCGCGGCGCGGGTCGCGTGTAAACATTTATTAATGAAAACCGTGGAATTAAAATTCGCGAACGAAATATACACAAATTTCGCATGGTCGTGACGGCACAATTTCAATGCACATTACATACACTGCTCAAAGCAATTAGGGAATTAAATTAAAGTGAGTGAATAGTTGAATAGTTGAATAATATAGTTCAACGATATGTAATGAAAGATAAAAGATATAATGATGCTTAGGAAATATTAAAAGATGTATAAGAGATAATTATTCAAAGATTTAAGCACGTGTTCGGAAGAATGTAACTGAAGAAATAATTCCCTGATTGTGCTGAGCAATGTTTCATTCAACAATACACAGATACAAAAAGTTCCCAACATACAGAATATATGAGCAAAGTAAATCGCATTGGCTTTCACGGTATTTTACTCATTACCTTAGATATTATTAATCATCATCTCTCAATTATTATTTCTTTTGTCTGTGACTCACCAACATGCTGCAACAAGGCTGGCCACGTTCTGCCAGGTGGTTCTATGACAAAAAATATAAACATCACTGATTAAAGCTCGACTCAATGACATTGAAACAGGCATATGTTAGTTCTTTGTGATCATATTTCCATTTTCGTCCATAAAAATTAAATAGAATCATTAAATAGTTAAATAATAAAAAAAAAATTATAATTTTACCTTCGAGCCAACCTTGCTTAGTCCGAACTGGTTCCTCCGATACGACATCTGCATTCACGTTTCTACTGCGTAGTCGTAGACTCTGCCACTTTGAACAAAACATACACACTGAAACAAAAAAATCGGTTTCTTGATTAGTTATTGGCAATAGGAAAATTAGAAAGGATACTGAACTCGAGTAAATAAAAAAAGTAGTAAATCTAACAAAAATAAAGTGTGGCAGACATTTCTTACATTTCAAGTCGTTGTCACTAATAACGATCCCAGCATAATAACAGACCACATGAGATACTTTAACTAGCTTTATGAGCGCTTTGATAATTTTATAAAAACTGAGAATGACGCGTGACATTTACCGCGTTCGAATCGGTGTTTGAGATTATCATAGAGGACTAGTGAGACGTAGCGTATGTGTTTATTGCCGCGCGCGACAAGGACGAAATGTTTACGCTTCAGCGTGTCTCTGCTCGAACGAGTCGTTACACGGTTTTCTTTTTATCATTTTATGCTCACAAACATTCAATGTATGAAATATATTAATATTATAAATACTATTCTAATATCAATACCAACATTTCACAATATCAAAACACTGATATTTCAATCTGACATTAATATCATAGGTAATATTTTACGATATTTATCATAATATTAATAATATTATTAGTAATTTTTTCAATACGCGTTCCAACGGTATTTGAATCACATTCCTTACATCGTACAGCGCTATCGATCATTAAAATTTAGTAATCGTAAAATTGCCACTCTGATCTAAAGATCGATAAACGAACAATATATGACACACCTCAAGTTGAAATCTTTTTTCTACGGTAATTCTGCATGTAACTTGAAGGATCAATGGAGAATTTTAAAATATAGTAGTACGGGCCATTTTCCTATTTATTTCCTTTTATACAAACAAATCGTTATTTAATATCAGTTTCTCCGTTGAAGCTTAAAGAAAGACCTGTTTTAGAATGATTTAATATTTAATTGTCTCGATATTTTACCTGCATTTAAATTCTTCTAAATTCCGATGAGCAATGCATCAATTAATATGACACTCTACTGATCCTATAAGTTTGATTGCAGGGTGAATATAATGTCAAAATCTCGACTCACACTGCTCGAAAATCATTTGTCACTGTTTCATTTCATATCAAAAGTCAACGAGCCCAACTTTGATATACAAAGTTTCTTTTTTTAATTCCATTTTATTTCGTATCGTTCTCATTGTTTTCCCCCAGCCTTTCCTGCCTACGCAGATTTTTATCCACACCCGTGTTAGAACGCCCGTGTCTTGATTCGCAGGTAAAAGGTAGCACGAAACAGATTCCGAACAATCCGTGCGAGACCAAGTGCGGCGACAGCGGCTGCCACTGCGTCAGCAAGTCCCTCGAGAACATGGACCACCTTCTGCTCGTCTCCGAGACTGGCCACATCGTCACCTGTCTCTGCGGAAATTACCAGGTAAACGCACACGACGGAGAGCTTGCTCGTGCCCTCGAATGAGCATCTGAACGCACCGCGCGGCTGTCTTACACCGTTCTCTCGCTTCCTGAACGCGACAAGATAAAAGCGATCGCTATTACCGCAACATTTATCTTCGCATTGTCATGCGAGCGCCGCGACAATGTCGTTAAAATATATCGCCCGCGATATACGCCATTTTCCGTGCGCGAGTGGCCGTTACTCTCTTTGTGCTCGTTATATCGTTTTCAGCGGGGCAGGTGGGTCATTCTTTCAAAGAAAATTCATTGTGCGCGCGACGTCTTAAAAATCCAAGCTGTATCTTCGCTGTGGTCCATCCAGACAAAACGACAAAGCATAATTAACATTTATTACTTCGATAGTTAAATAAAATTATAGGAGAGTATTTTTTTCATACGTAAATAATAAATGTAAGATCCCTTTAATATCGCCACTGAAAATCCGATACTTTACGATACAATTATTTTAAGATACGCGCATAAATTTATCGATGCAACTTTGCCGCGAGATCAAGCGCGATGTAACACGATCTAGAACACTCTCAGCAAATTTCAACGCGTGATCGTTGCCGAGAGGAGCCCAAAACTGTCCGCGCGCGATTTAACGATGCGTCGGTTTTTGCCGGGTCGAACTTTCCGTCGAACACGGGAAAGCTGCGAAGCTATCAACGCTAGATAATTTATTCCATATAAAATATGTTTGCCGCAAACCTCGCGCACATGCCATAAACTGACCTGACTTTGACTGTATCCACATGATGATTATTAATAGGCGTATTATCAGATTACCAATAGAGTGTAATCGTTATGACGAGTCTATAAACGATAATGCGATTTCGATTCCGGGGATCATCGTTTCATATTCAAATGCTTGTTATTTAGCACAATTGAGAGCTATCGCGCGGGCTATAACATAAATAACAGACCGAATCTATATAATTAGACCGTATGGGATTAAACGTGCGTCGTCCACGATTGATAATTAAGCGGGCGTCTGTCTGAGGAGCTACGACGAACTATGAACTCGCGCTGCCGAGTGCTCTTCCCTGAGACGAAATTTTGACTCTATGTTAACCACCTGACACCAAAATTGGGTACAAAATCGAGTGGGGAAAAAATGGGGAACATCTTAGCAAAACTCTTTCGACTCGAGTTCTTTTCGAGGAGCGACGCATGAGACGTGACGAGATTCGTCGTCGAAAGAATGACAACGCGTTATTGCTATTTATCCTTCTCTCCCTTATCGCTCCACCCACGGCCTATTTTTATCGGCGACGCGCTTGTTTCAGCTTTTCCTTATCGCTCGGTGTGGCTCGTCGCGCCTTTTAGTCTCCTCCGACTTGCCATTTTCCACACGATATCCCTCGGCCCTCATTTCATCCGTCTAACGGGCTCTATTATCGCGCAGGACTGGCTTCCGGTGGGCATCCGTAGCTGGACTCCGGTCTACATCGAGTGGTCGAGATCGTCGAGAGCGGGCCTCAATTTCCACGCGGCCTACAAGTTTGTCAATGACACTTACTGCGGCGATCACACAACGGCGGAACCGGAAGGCGAGGTCAATGGCGGTGATCTGGCGAGCGCAGGGCTGAAGCTGAATCAGTATTACCAGCAGAAGTGCACCTGGATCCTGGATTCGCCGATCGACCGACAGCTCGTCATCGAAGTCAAATCCACTCAGAGCCGTAAGCAACACTCGCGTCTGCAGTCCGTTCGCAAATTACACTGGCGAAATCTAATTTATCCACTCGCGGATTTTTCTTATATTTTTTTTCTCGAATTAGCACAGTCTCTTTTGTCTCAAATCAGCACGTAGATTTTCGGTTTTCTGCGAGAATCGTAAATTCTATCGCGCATGTGCGCGGTCGTTTTATATTTTTCATGTTTTTTCCGCGTCGAACGATTTGATAATCCCAGAGCTCAATATAGTGAATTTGAAACACGACTACCGATTCTAATTGAAGCTGTAATTAAATGGAAGCACGAATTGTTGATATAATTGTTGGTATAATTGTTACTTATCATATTACATCGTAATAGCCGAAATTTACTTATCATATTACATCGTAATAGCCGAAATTTACTTATCATGTTACGTTATATAATAGCCACAATTTCACGCAATCGGAATGTTCATCGCATTCGCAATTTCGCAATTTCATATTTATTACATTTATGAGACGTTCCTCTTCTTCGAGCCGAGAAAAAAAGTAATAAACCGCCTTTCGTGGATTTGTTAGTCCGCGATTTTATATCTCTCGAGACAAACCGAGAGCCGTTTTAAAAGTACGAAAATGATTTATCTAGGAGGACCTATCTACGTCTCCCAGGAGAACGTTTCACGGACGATTTATCTTCGGGCGGTATTAAAAGAAAACAGAAAGCAGCTGCGTACCGAAGCAGCGTATCCTTCGTAGATCTCGGACATTAAGAATACCATGTTGCTATAGTGCAATTAATTTCTTCGCCACGATAAACCTGTTGATAGTTCTGATAAAATCGCTCTGACGTGACGACATATAACTATTTATATATGTCGCGGAATTTTTGTAAATTCAAGTACTCTAACTTCTATATGAAATATTTAAACCTTTCACGGCTCTATAACGTGTACGGTTAATTTACGAACTATCATACACACTAACAAATTTTATATTAAATTTAACACATTTTACATGTCCCATACAAACAATCTACGCAAATTTTTCTGTTAATTTCACACAAGGTGAAAAATAATATAATGTCAATAATTAACACAAAATTTTAATAAACATAATATATTAATCGACATTCCGTTAAAAAATATTTCAAACCTGATCATATATAAATATATATAAATATGCATAATTATACTAAATTATATATGAAATTTGGCCATACATAATTAGTCCATATAATTATATATGATTAAATATGATTAGATATAATTATTGATTATTATTGTGCATATTTGATACTATAAACAACTTTCGGCCATTTCCTCTATGTTGAAATTTTAAAACAGACTTGCTGAGATCTTCTTGCATGCATAGAAAAAAAATTACACAATAATAAAAGATAATTATATCTAAATACATCTAATCATAAATAATTAAGTATGATTAATATTAAATAATTATGTACAAATTTCATATATAATTTAATATTACTATGCATATTTATGTATATTTATACATAATTATGTATAAAATGTTTTTTAACGGACTGAAGTATAAAATGTGTTATTTTTACATATGTTGAATATCGACTCAACACAAAATATGGAAATAACAAAAACATAATATGTTAAATTAACACATGTTTATGTTAAAAATTTAACGCAAAAATTTCACCAAGGACCGATTTTATCATAAATATAAAATATTTTTTACTATGTACATTACATAATTTCTCAAAAAGATTAATGTCATAAAGTCATGTCGATCGTAAAGCTAACCTAAAATATGCAATTCCAATCGTTCCGAAAGATTCTCGAATCGTATTTTCCTCATATCTAACAAAGAGTTACTGTCGTCTCGTTACATGAAAAACGCTCATTTGCCGTACCAAAGAGGATTTTCCGGACAATTCAAACACGTATTAACAGAGAACAAAAACGAGCATTTTCTCGCGAGGTAACGTGTGCACAGTATATCTCGTTTGTTATATCATTATACATAAAGAGAAAGGAAGAGAGAAAACAACGTACCTCTCTCGACTTATTGTTGCTCCTAACGACGTTTCCTCCGTCGCGGCCGTCGTTTTATTTTCATAAGCACGAATCCTATCTGGCGTGTGTCGTGCTACAACGCGAATACGCGAGGAATTCTATTCCAACCGGGAAGTAGTCTCGGGACCTGCGGGCCATAGGAGAAACAGAGATAGATAGATCATCTTCCGAGTAACGCGCACGGTTTCTGTCGACGACAGCGGGCGAGGGCAGAAAGAGAGAGGAAGAGAGAAAGAGAAATCTCCTTTCGATTGCTTTTCTTCTCGTGGCCGTCGGAATTTCTGTCCGCACCATTGCCTCCGTCTCGTCCTCGTAGTCGCAAAAGGACGCGAAAAAGTTCCCGGGAATAGAAGTCGGAGAGAGAGAGAGAGAGAGAGAGAGAGGATATGTCATGGCCGAGTCGCCGCAGCGCGAACGGACGACGATGGAGAGCGCAGGCGGCGAAACGAATGGCAGCAGGTCGCGAGATTAAAGAGACCATCGGATTTACCGCGAGACCGCGGGTGTTGAAGCTTCACCCTGTGGAAATCGCCGTCCTCTCTCCCTCTTGTTCTCTTACCTTGGCGCGTTTCTCGGAGTTGCCTCACTCGCCCTTTTCCCGTCGTCGCGCGCGCTTTACTACACGGTTCGGTAACCGTCTTGTGAACGCGACCACAGCGCCACCACCACTGCTGTGTAAGCGTACGTTTCGAATATTTGAATCCGGGAGCGTTACGATTATTCTTCGCGCGGCGAAGAGACATAAAGTATGAAGGATATTTCTCCGTGGTGGAACGTGCACGCATACGCGGATGTCGTTTCTGCTGTTACGTGCAGAAAGTACGTTATCTTCTTTTCTCGAAAATGGAAGAAAAAAGGAGGTGAGGAAAAGTTATTATAATTATATATGAATTTTATTTCTATGTGGCAGTATATAATCATATATAATTATAACACAGGGAATTTAAATTGAGATGCCTAAATATATAAAAAGAAAAAAATGAAAAGAAATATTCCAAGCAAAAGTTGTAAGGTTCGGAGGGGGACATACTTTGGTGATTTTATCTTCGTTGTATAGTCAATAATTCAAGGTCATTTCAACTTCATTTTTCTAATTAAATCATATAGATTTTTTTTAACACAAATCGATTTTTCTCGAGATTTCTCTGTTCATTTTGCGTGTAAAAGTATCATATATTAAAAAATGTTAGAATAAAAAATAAAATATCTCGAAAAGTTTGTGTTAAAAAGCTATATGATTCTATTTAAAAAAATGAAGTTGATCTTAAAATGACTTTGATAAAGTTAAGGTCATCAACTTATGTCCCTCTTCAAACCCTACAACTTTTATCCGGAATACTTCTTTCTATTTTGTTTAATTCTTTATATATTTCGACTTCTAAAGTTAACTCACTATATAATTATGATTATATACATAGCCATATAAAGACAAAATTCATAAACTAGATGTCATGTAAAATTATATATATAAATATAATGTTTTTTTCGAGAAGTCAAGGCTCATTGCTGCTCGCGGTTCTCATCGTTGTTATTCGCGCGCGATTCGCAACGCGACTCTCTATTTTCATATTATTCCCTCGTGCGCGTTCTTGTTTTCTCTTGAAACTCTAACGGCGAGCGATCGATGCGGCGAAATGCATATACATATGCAGTGATGCAGTGACCCGATCCGTTCCTACATTCGCGTACGTGGCAGCGCGCCGTTCTGTATTAGACATAGAGAATACTCCGTGCGATATTTCAAGAGGAAAGATAGTTATATCGGTTTCCCTCGCGTCGCGAATAGACGATAGAGATACGGATACAAGACGAGAATGAGAAAGAAATAGGTAGAGACAGCCCGCCCCCGTAACTCCGTGCCGTCACGATGCAGCACTCAGGAATATTAACTAAGAAGAAAAGCGAGATATTGAAATCGCGCCGACGCACGCGGAAAGTTTTGATTTGTGCATAACGGCTTGGACGATACGGAATTTTCGCGCGTAAACGAAGCGCTTCTGTTTTCTCGCCCCTGTCACCGTCTCGAAGGCAATTACGCCGGTTTATCCGTCTCGTCAAGAGGAACGCGGAAACGAGTTTCGCGGACAGGTCGCGTTATTAGATGAATTAACCGCTGGAACTCCGCAAACGATCCCGCGTTAAAACTATTCACTTTGAATGGCGAACCCTGCCGCGAATCGAATTACTCCGACGATGACACTCCTTCCGCAAGTCCCCGCCAGAGAAAAATCAGCCGTAGTGCTTCTCTTCTTCTCTTTCCAACGTTCCCCCGCGTTTCTGTGCCCGCGTCTTTTTCATTTTCTTCCTCCTCGCCACCTTACGGAACATTATGAGCGGAGTCGGAACCGTAACCAAAGCCCCGCAAACGCCGGGGCCGGAAATGGCTTTAATATACCTCTCTCCCGGACTGCGCGGCATCGTCGCGTTTCTCACCGCCTTCTCTCGCTCTTCTCTTCCTTTTCGCCGTAGAGTCGTTCTCTTCTTGCGAGAAATTTCATCGTTGAGCGCCGCATTTTCTGTCATAAAAGGTTCGCCAAAATGCTCACCGCATGGACAACAGGAATCCTGGTAATGAACATTCTCACGATTAACCCACTTGTGCACGCGTGCGCGCGTTAGTTATTGTTTTTTTCGGAATAAAATGTCAGACCGAGGAAATATCTCGGCTGTGGTCGACGGTGCAGCGTAACAAACCGCGAACTGAACTATTTGAACGATGAAATTAATTTCAGTCTACCCCCACTTAATGTCGGTGGTTGATTTCCGAAAACCACGAGCAATCAAATTATACGGAAAAAATCAATTCGTTTCCATGTGAGTCACGCGAATCAAGTAATATGTGAAGTAAGTTCGAAAAAAAGCGTAACCGAGCGGAGACTGTACCATATTAAATGGAGAACGATCGAGGATCATTTCCCGTACCAAGTATCTTGTGCAAGTTAATTTGAAATGAAAATTTCGAAGGGAGACATCGCCAAGAAGTTTGCAATAATATACAAGACCGACAAAGTCTTTTTCCACTTAGCGGGACTTCGCGCAGCACGAAGTCTCGCAAGATACGCTTCGCAGCGAATTCAATCTTGAATACTTTCTCGAATATTCGAGTGCAGCCTTCTCATGCGTTCGAGTGGTCGCGGCGAATTGAATCGTTTTCCTATTCTGCCTGTTCTGCATATTCTGTCATTTTTAACGCTTGCGTTATAACTGTAACACACGCGTCACGTAATAGCACGTTACGTGCACAGAGAAAAAGATCTCCTTCGATTTAATACAATTTCTTTAAATGAAACAAATTTGTCTTTCGGAATGGAGTAAATTAACGAATGTTTGATTCAACAAACAGGATTGTTTAGTTTCTCAAATAATAAATATCTTTACATCAAATGATATATATATCTTTTTGTATCTTCATCCAAACATTAAAATGATAGTCACAAATAATAAATTATTTGAAAGAAGAAACACTATGTTAGAAAAAGAACTTCTTTTTTTATTTCGATGGGACAATATTTTATATACAATAAAATAAAGTTTTTTTTCTTTATTAAAAACCAAATATTATTTTCTCAAAATAATATTATTGTTTTCTGTCAAATAACACTGTTTGCTCTAGTAAAGTAACATTTTCATTTAAATAAAATGACAACTTTTGGTAAACGTTGGATAAAGAAAATGGAAACTGTCTGGATTTCCTACTTAGAATCCCCACTTTTGAAACATTACATCTCTAATTCGAATTTTCATAGATTTCCCAATCAGAATCCATCATTTTTCTGGGAAATCAGAATAGATTCCAATCATACCGCAGAAAATGTTCTATGCGGGGACGTTTAATAGTAACGATATTAGTAGTAGATAAAACATTAAAAAATTACAGAATAAACACACAAAAGCTTGATGAGAAAACAAAATTTATTCATCACGGAGTGCATCGCGACGATGTCTGCTCATCACGCTTTTTCTACTCAACAGGGCCCTGCACGGCATGGAATCTGACGATACACGAATACCGGAAGGACGGTGACCCGGCCGGTCTCCGTTTGCACACGTTCTGCTCGAGGGACACGCACAAGAATTTCACCCTGCCGTGGAAGATGAATACCGCGGTGGTTAGGTGAGTTTCTTAACCGGTGCACCTGGGACCGATTAAGACCGCGACGAAAGTTTCCCCCGCGATCTTGTCTATTAGCTCCGGTTAACGACAGTTTCACGACAGTTTCGACGGGAGATTATGATACGGTCTGTTGAAATATAAGCGCCGTTTTGTGCGACGACGGCAGCGAAGACGACGACGACGACGAACGATCGGAGCCGTGTTTGTGTGTCGAGCGCGCGCTAGCATAAAACCGACGATTGATGCCCGCGCGATCCGTAACTGTCGTCTCGCGGGAAGAAATTATCCGCTGATTAACAATCGGCCATCGTTCATCGCACCTTACGACGTCAATTCCGGCGTTACGACCGACGCCAGCACCACTCGTCATTCCGTAATCTGCCAGATATAAAGAAAAATGTGCTAACAGAGAGAAAGATAGAGAGGGAGAGAGGGGAAGGAAGGAAGGAAGATTCTCTCATTGTCCGTAACAATGATCGATACAGTTAAATCAAAGAATGACTGAGTCATTTCTGTCGTATTCCCAGGAAGACGAATATATCTTTCTCTCTACAATCGGAAGAAAAAGATACACACGAAGGTGCCTGTGATTCGAAATATATCATTAAATATATCATTATAAATCTATTATTAAACATATATCGATGCAATTGAAGAGCCAGAGATATCTCGTAATTCTATGCGCAAGATTGAAGGCTGTTTTTTCCTTCCTTTCTGAGTAAAATCCAACGCGTTTTCCAGGCTGCAAGCTCTCGGCAGGACCGCTCCGCAATACACCATGAGATGGAGAAGTCACACGGTGACGGCCAACACTCGCAAAAGCGGACCATCGCCTGCGCCGAACCACGTGCTGGGCGCCTCGAGTAGAGACGAACCGCGAGGGAGAATCGTCCTCGTGGCGTTCGCGATTCTGCTCGCATTCTCGTACGGTTGTTGAGAGCGCGTGAACTCACGGCGTAACCACATCTGCATACACACACAGAAAACACACCACACTCACACAGAAATACACACACGTACGTTCCTGTTAATCGAACGAGCCTAAGTTAATAATCCTGTGTACATAAACGGTGAGGACTCCGAGTCAGTCCTCGTTTTACGTCGCTCGATGTAAAATGCTTGACAAAGCAGGTACCGATTGAGAGCCGAAGTGTCGCCGGCTGGGTTTGTTAACCACGCACCGGGTAATCTGCAAGAGAGAAATATTTTATTCGCGCGACGCACCCGCGTGAACGCACGCACGCACATACATTCACACACATAGTCATACATACACTTGCGAGGGACGATATCGGGGATAAATTTTAACTGATCCGCGCGCTATATTTTTCACTCTACATACGACTCGATCCTTCGTGGTTGATATGATAGAGGGTTATAACGAGTCGGAGATTGCCGCTCCTCGATTACATCCCAAGTAGCACGGACTTCTAAAAGACGTCTTTCAAGCAACAGTAGCATTACATCGATGTTGTAATTTCCCACTTAATAGTAACTGTTACATACAACATGTGTTATATCGTATTTACATTGACTGGGAAATTACAACGTCGATGTGTAATGTGTTTTACTGTTAATTGGTGTTTACTGAGTTTAAGAGAAAGATAATTAGAAAAAGATGTCCTTTAAAAGTTTACGTTGTCTGAATATATATATATATATATATATATATTGGCCTCCTGTTTACACCGATCATTTAACGCGTACAAACTACACAATAAAAATATTTTGTGTGCTGTGTTAAGACCGATCCTTGTCAAAATTTTAACATACCATTTAACATATGTGTTAATTTAACATATTGTGTTTATGTCATCTCAAGATTTTATGTTGCATTGATATTCAACATATGTAAATATCAAAATAACACATTTACACTTCAGTATCGAAGTTAACGTATCAATTTTATGTTAATTTTTGACATCTCTGTTACTTTTCAACATATTCACCTTGTGTTAAATTAACACAGAAATTTGAGTGGGACACGTGAAATGTGTTAAATTTAACACAAAGCTTTCTATCATGTAGTAACTTTCTATTGCGTAGTAACTTTCTATTATATTATCTTAATTTCGGCAATGCGCGTAGTCGACGGTGTATTCAAATGATATCTCTTCTCGACGCGTATTGTATCAGTTAAGTATACCGTCGTTTATCCAGTTCATTCATTAAGTATAACGTATTTATGCATCGTCAATACTCAGATAATTTAATAGAAAATTTCTATTTAGTAAGCGTATCAAACGATCGATGTAAACTAGCACACTGACACACACACGTTCATCGTACGCACGTTCGTGCACGTCGGAATTCAAGGAGTGACGATCAGCACGTCTGAACAAGCACTATTATCTCGCACAATCGATTATCACACGACCTCCGGATCCGGTGTAAATTTCGTTCGAATCGCACATCCGGACTGATTTGCGATTTTTAGCACGTCCCACACGAGTGTACACGTACGAACAGTCATCTGTCTGAAGACCTCATCATTCCATTCCTTGCCGTCTCAACGTGGTGCACAGTGTCTTCTTCAGTCCAACGTAGGGATTCAGTCGTCACAGTTTCCGAAGCGTTTTTATAAATTGATATATAGCCACCGCGAATCCTATTAATAAAGAAACATGTACAAAAATTGTTACACCGAAATTGCGATTGACTGAATGTCCGATTTCATCCGACGGAAAAAGGAAAACAAATAATGGAGGAGAAGCGCGCGGCTTCTCGGCGCGTATTTCACGATCGCTTTAACGACTCAAGAGGGGCCCAGGGAGTGGCGCACGTGTATATATTATACATACATACATATATAAAGAAGAGATTAAACACATATGCAGAACGCGATGCACGGATTTGAAGAGTAGAAGAAGAAAACGAAGATAAGAGGGAAAAAAAATGAACCACACGTCACCTCTATCTCTCCCGCTCTTTCACGCGATTGCCAAATTACACGTGTAAGAGGATCGCGACACAAGTAGCGGATGTGTAAATACGTAGCGGCGTTTGGATAGCATTTGTACAGAACATGACTAAACTGTCTACCCTAAGCCCGCGGAGATTATGTAAAGTAAACGATAAGAATAATTAACGATTAATCGCGATCAATCGCGGCTCCGAGAAAGAGAGAGAAAGAGAGAGAGGCGCGCGATGCGAGCGAGGCGCATGTGAGAAACGAAGACAGAGAGAGAGAGAGAGAGAGAGAGAGTGTGTATGTGTGTGTGTGTGTGTGTGTGTATTTTAACGAACGAGCTTCGCGTGTCCCGCGTGCCACGCGCGATTTAATATTGTTACACGCGCGGTTCCACGGCCGAACGGGGGACTTTCTCGTCTCAGGACAGGGGACTGTGCGCCGGTCCGCCGTCGAACGCGCGCACAATTGATTATTATTATCTGGATAAGGTGGATAAGGAAATAAACGCTAGGTCGTAAATATCTAATGTACGTACTTACTACTAACGCCACAGCGCCGGTAGAACGAGCCGCGGATCATGATACTCCGACTGTACAACGGTGAGAGAGCGTTTCTACGAGACTTTTCCATTGATTTTGTAACAACCGTTCGAAGCCACGCGAAACCGTCGCGAGATTATTCTCTCCTCCAGTTTTCTTTTCTTTTTTATACACACGTATATTATACGTACGACGCGTCGTCCGATCGCGTACAAAGTACGCGACGGGACACACGTGGGCCTAAGTGTAAGTCGTTCCCGCGGAACTCTCCTCCCGAGAGCATCCCTCGCGCACCGAAGGCGTTTTAACTCGCGATTACTTTCCGCGCGAATCACATATCTCGCGTGTCAATATCCCTCGTTTCGCAAATACGCGCGCGTATTCTGTCTTGTTTCGAAAAATGCGAGCGTAGACACCGCCGTCTCTTTCTGATACCGAGAGCGTGTTGTTAACAGCGGAACGCCCACAGCGTTTCATTAACACTGGAACTACTACAGCGGTCCAAATGATCATAACATTTCCCTGACGTGCGATCTATACGATTTTCAGCTCTAACGAACTAAATCTATCTGTGGGCATTCTAAAGCTGAGCTATGTAATATTAGACGATACTTCGTTGCGCAATTAAGGGCATTATTTTTAGCGGGTAACTGCAGCGGTTTTGTAAATCATTTCGGATTCTCTTGTACCCCTATTGCTGAGAAAGCTGCTGGATTAAAGATACGTTCTGGATGTATCACGAAGCGCATGAATTCCTTCGGATTCCTTCGTTTCTATATCTTCGATGAAGGAAAAACATTCACATCTCCAACGTGTGTTGAAGTTGCCATTCTCACCGTGTCAGCGATTTTCATTGAGCTTCCGAGAGTTAGTTGCTGTCACAGATCAGGTTACCTTTTCCTGAGACGTGCTTTCAGTTTCACGCATCCTTTTCTAGAACGAAACCGGACTCTCGTACTTAGCGATGTAAAACGCGAGGAAAGAAAATTATATTGTAATACCTTACGTTGTAATTCGTAATGTAAGCAAATACGAAGCGCGCGATCATTCGCGAACTATATTCGTCGAGAACCTCGTCAAAACAGAGATGAAAGTCCCTATCTAATTAATTATCGCAAAAATCGACTGATGTTACAATGAGAACTAAATTGTCGCTCAACAATGTATACTTCATACGGAGTGTTTTGCAATTGCGGATGCGGTATATGCAGTAGCAACGATGTTGCTTCGCTACAACAACAACATTATTTTTCTCCGTGTATGAAATATATATAAACAAAATCTGAGATTAGAAAGGCGTCTTTAAAGTTCGCCATGCGTCCGTAATAAGGCTCCAGCTCGCGCTCGGCCTCCGAGCACGAGATAAAACGGCATAGACGCGTTTAGAATCACACATCGAGAAGATTGCTTTTCATTCCGTGTCCCTACGTCGATTTGTTCGCGAGTTACGGCTCTTCAAAGTCGGTATCGGCGGGAACGCTGGCGGCGCTGTGCACTCGAGCAAGATGAATGGACGCACAACTGTAGTTGACGCTGCAGAGGTAGTAAGTCCGCATTCCAACGCGTAACGGCGTTACGTCATCGTTGGAACGCGGACTTGCTCCCACTCCCACGCGATCAGCTGGCCACTGAGCACGTGGTCGGCGCTCACGCGTGCGCAGTGCGACTTTAAAAGCCGGCAGCTCTCGAGCACGTGGCGCGCAGCATACCAGCGTTCATTCATATTCCCGAGGGTCGGAAATCCTCTTAATTAATCATTTCCTCAGGGATATCAATACATATATGTTTAAATACTTTCGATTCATTTTTCTTTTAATTTATGTACAAACGCTAAAATGAAATGCGCCATACAGTATATGAAGATAAAGTTAAAACGGTCTTAAATATAAAATTAACTATGAATACCGCTCTTAGAAACGCGAAATAAAGAGGAATCTTCGCGCGAAATCCCGAGCACGACTGTGGATTTTATCGGGGCTATTTTGTTTCGTTTCTGCGAGTCCTGTTGGGTACTCGAAGCAAAATCTGTAATTATGCATGACACTCCGTATGGGGAAGTACGAAAAGTAGAAAATATGTGAGAAATTTTGAGAAGCTCGTTTTTTTATAGGCACAACTGCGATAAACGCTGAATGCCCCTTACGTTTGATATTTGCGTGTTTGTAGAAGTTGCGTTTAACATTATTACTGCGCATTTATAGGGGGTTGCTTTTCATCCGAGAAGCGTACCGGTTTTACACAAGAAACACGTGCGACCTACGAGAAAGAAATACGTGTTACATGTACTAGCCGCGTATATATATAAGTCACAATAAATAGTCAATTGTTTCATATAAAGTCTAAATAAAGTAAAATGAAACACTATTTCGCGCGAAGTGTCCTTCTCCTCCTCTTTTTTTTTTCCGTTTCTACATTATGCAACGATTCTTAGTATTCTCTGTGGTATGATTTAACCGAGATGTTCTTGAGGCACGTGGATTTTTATTTCAATACGTTCAATCCTAAATAGCACAATCAAAAATGAAGTATATGTATATATTACATATTCGTGTAGACACAAATCTCAAGTATTATTTTAAAAATACGAGTAAAGTTTAAATTCCATAATAACATCGCTGTAGCACGGAATCTTCAGGTTTAGGTGTAATGCACCTACATATGTATTGTATGTAATATAATAGTCGTTTTGAGTGTAACACAGCTTGATTAAAATTTATAATATATAAACGACAGTTTATATCAACAATGAATGACTTGGACATCAACGTTCTATAGAGTTCGTCCATCGTAATATCTGAAATTTCCAAAAACGGTTACGCGAATCGTTCAAATTCCATTGCCTATACTTTATGTTATCGTAAAATCCATTGTTCCCTATCGATTACTATTCATTCATTAATTATATTGGTGATATTGCGCTACGCTCGCGGCTACGATCGCCTTCACGAGCGACTAAACGAACGACGATCTCATCCCGTCTACAGATGTAAGTGAATTTTAAATTCACAGTCACGCAAACGACTCCTAGTCACACCGTAAGTCATTATTAACAATGTTATTGACACAGATATTGCATATGAACTTCAATGGTTGTTACGGAATTCAGGTTTGAGCGTATCGCTGTTTAAGAAAAAAAAATTAAAATACGTATTTTCGCTAACGTATATATACTCCATTGCATCGAACATACATGTACAAAGTGAAAAATAATCGATTTATAAACAACGCAATGTACCAACAAGAAAGATTATGTGGTTCTTAAACGAACGGATAATCTCTGTATAGATGACAATTAAATACATAGTACGGAAAACCTGTACAATTTTACAAATGCAGTTTCAATGATAATTCCCTAACGTTTAAGAATATCTTTAAGATCCTATGGAAAAATATGATTAATCGATATGTATATTAGAATAACACAACCATGGCTTTTAATAAACACACATACAGAGAACAGAATATAAAATTCTCACGATTGTTATAAAACGCTGAAGCTAGAATCTTTATTTTGACATATTCAATGTTTGCATGGATAGTTATAAATATTATAATGACAAAGCTAAAACGTAATGGATTGATCACATAAAAAGGAGAATATTCTATAATAGCCACAGAATATTACCTTATAACATTTCACTATATAACCGGAAGTTTTACGTAAATTATAATCTGTTCTACTCTCTATATCAATGGATATGCTTAACTTTTCTATATGTATAACAATATTTATACACTAGCAAACAATGCAATCCACTGGTTCCTTGACGATGGGTTGATCAAACTGGATCGAGAGCTTTCATAATAAAATTAAAAAAAAAGAGAGAGAGAGAGAGAGAGAGAGAGAGAGAGAGAGAGAGAGAGAGAGAGAGAAAGGAAAGAGTGATAACGTTAATGCCCCTATATATGTTTTTACTTTCATTAAAATTAGGAACAAAACCGTAAAAAAAAAAAAGACTCCTCGGGTTACCCACTCGATATATTCTCGTGTCTTTAAATGCCTATTAAGAACACACGAATATCGTTACATATGTACTATCTTGGAGTATCAAACTGAGATTCGTCCACGATAACGAGGGAACTACGAAATGCGCGCTTTAAGTTTACGTGGATACGTTATGCAAGAACTGAGACGCAGAATTCAGGAGGCCTAGCCGCTGTTTCTGCTTTCGTTGCTCCGTCATCTGTAGAAGAAAAAGGCAAGAGTTACGATTTTTGTACGGATACGTGCCGGTCAATCCGACATTATCACTTAATACGGTACCTGATCACGAAGCTCCGTGAGTTGCTGGGACAAACACTTCACTAACTGTTGCGTAGATTCCAATTGTGACTGTAAACTTCTTAACTCCACTTGTTCCCCCTCACCTTCGTCTGCAGCTAACGACTTGGCTCGCAGTCTCGGGAACCATTCCAGATTCCGGTCCTGTGAAAGTACATAGAGCTTAAAGGCATAAGCATCGCTCAAATTGTTCAAGCTCTATGAACTATTACCTTGACCATCATGTAAACGTAGGATTCCGGGCCCGTGAACTCGGTCGGATCCTTCACCTTCACTAAGACGATGAAGTAGAGATAATGCCACATATTGTGCTCGTGTTTCACGTGCTCCTCGAACGAAACTGTTTTGTTGTCAAAAGCTGATCTGTTCAAGCCTTCAAAAGAATTACAATTAATAAAATCATAAAATATAATAACATATGTACACATATATCTCCTATCATATACAGTGATTCAGAGCAACCGTAAGTACTCACGTTTGACGGTGAGTTGCATTATCTTTACTTACCTCCTGTATTCAAACCATAACAAGCAAACTATTTCTTTTTATAATTCAAAAATTAAGCTTCGGATAAAGTTAAAAAAAAAAATCGTCTCAGAGTCTAATTACGAACACAGATGCCAGATCGTGGGATTTCTGGATCGCGTAATGGGAAGCTTATATCACGCTACATAATAATATAAAACCTGCAATATATGATACCTGTTTTTGTGTTAGACTGCTTGCGTGCTGGAAATACTGTGTTCTAATCGATGTATTCCTAGAAATCACGTGAATTACGATCGAGAAATCCCACGATCTAGCAGCTCTTCTTTAAAGGATAAGTTCTGAATCAATCTATATAATGAAGAAATAAAAATGTGTAATACATTGATTCTAGTGAGTACTTACCACAAATGAAACAAGTATTCTTCAAAATCAATTCCTTCTGCTGTTTCTCCGATCTAAGATCCGCGAAAGTGTCAATGATCACACCAAAAATGAGATTCAAAACGATAATTATCACGATGAAGAAGAATAGTAAGTCATATACAACTCTCGCAAAAAACAGCGGTTCCTGAAACGACAGAGCAATTTTAACGTAAAGGAATAAGTTATTTTGCGCTCTTATTGCTTTTATTACTTACAACACTAGTAGGTGCTCGTAGAATATCTCCGATTCCGCCGCCATTCCTCAATCCCTGATTCAACGTAGTAACAATACACATAAGAAGTGAGTCACAAGATCGTTCTTTCATTTCCCCGCCGATGCTAATCACCTCAAGTTTGTTCTCTCGTTCATTTTCTATAACATAAGACAGTTTATCTTAACGTCATTTCTAAATAATACAACGAATTATACTATCGCGAATACCAACCTTCGCGAGCATATTGCGACAATGTCTCTGTTGCTTCACATTTCTCTTTGTCACCAGCGCTGCAGGTATTCACAGATTGCTCTTTAATGTAAGCTGAAATTTAAATAAACGGAATGAGATCGATCATTTATGAAATCAAATATATACTAAAGGGCATTGAAAATAAGGCTGAAACTTGGTAAACAGAAGACAGACGGAAGGTTCAAGACAAAGTGGTCCTAGTTTATTGGCAAAACAACTATGGGTTCATATAGGATAACCCCAAATGGCTCCGTGATATATGTTCTGTAATTTGGAATCTAATCGAATAGATCTTTCTAGGTGAAGCATTTTCAATGCCTTTCAGTGTACATACAGGATTAGATACAAGAGACGGAAGATTGAACTTACATGTAATTTCTTCATCCACGTTAACAAGGAAATCGTCTTTGAAGAACATAAAACCGATAAGAGAAAACATGTAAACTAAGATCAAAGCTAGCACAGCAGTGAGTATAATAGATCTTCCATTCCGAGTTACGGATTTTATTACATTGAGCAAAGTCTCCTCGCGATAAACCACATCGAAGAGCTGAAAGTAATGTGACAACGTTATGATCCGTGTATCACATGTCCTGTAAAAAGAGAATCGTGGTACTTACTAAAACTGAGTAGAAAAATGGATGCATAAAAATCCCCAGAACGCAGAATATTAAATACGATATGTGATACAAAAGTTCGATATTGGTTATTATTTGCTCTACACTTCTAGTCAGGGTACCCTGATTACCTATAATACTTATAAGATGTACAACTTTTAATACGATCTGCAACAGGTGTACAATTAAAGCATGAATAAAAACAGCCGAAATATAAGGTACGTTGTAATTATAATAAACGAAACAAGATGTAGAGTGTTACCGTAAGAAAACCGAGTAACCACAACGTCGGTTCTGGACCTATAGATAAAATCAATCGCAATATCGTTGATGCGACCAATACACGTATACCGGACTCCCTCGGTAAAGTAATAACGATAGCGGCAGACGCAAGCATAACCGTCCAAATGAGAGCTGATATGTGAGAATTAAATTCTGAGGGAAAGAGAAGTATCATCAATCATATGTGTCGAAAGATCCGAAGCACTTCGAACCCTTGTTAATTAGAAACTTACTAGGCACAGAATCCACGAACGGATAGAAAAACGCTACGATAAGATTTATCAGAACGGCGCAATTGAATAAAATATTACTCCATAACGACATATAACTGCTCATCCAGAACAACACCGGTTGCCCTGCAAATTAAGGGGAGAAATTGACTCGCGTGTTATCGGAACTGTCAGGATCGATCTGTCGTAATCCGTTTGATCAAACGATATGTACCTCTAAGCTTCTTCTGCCACTTCATTTCGTTGAACATATCTTCCGTCCTCTCGAAGAAATCAGAAACCTTCGATCCTTGGTCGTCTCGTTCCGTGGTGTTGAGCACTCTTATTTTCGTGTCCACGGTTATAAGTTCACAAATCTCCGGGATCGGGAAGACGATCTGTTCGAGCGTTCTGTCGTGCCTCACGATCTGAAACGAACATAAATGTCAGTGCCGAAATCTCCTGAGATTAATCCGTCGGAAATCACAGTACTTCTATTTGAGCCGTGTGAGATGCATAATATTGCAGCGCTTTGTTAATCTTCGGATCCGCGTTATTCTGTTCGGACGGCTTCAGCATCGCCGCCAGTTCCTTGTTGTGTTGCGCCAATTGGTGGCATAGAATATATATGTTATGTCCCACCTGTAACAGAAAATAATACAATTATTGACAAAATTGACAAAACTTTGATGAAAAGTGCACAGAAAGTTATAATACATAAATATGTTCTTATCGTGGCAATTGAAAATAAATAAATTACTTCTTTGGGCGACACTCCTTCCTCCCCATTCGTTGAGGAATCGTCGACATCGATATCGTCGTTCAGCGATTCCTGGTGGAAAGCCTTGCAGGCCACATCTACGAGCTGCTTCGGATTCATGTTATACAAAATCCTCTCGGCGTTCTCGCTGTCGCCTCTGCTCTCCATGATCGCCAACAGTAATTTGCTAGCATTGTTCTTCAACTCCAGCACTAGATCCATCCTGGTCTTTCCCAGAGGATTAATGTCGTTCAGTATCAACGCCGTTATAATGTCTAGACCGTTGGACTCATGCGTCGCGATGCAATTTTGATTATCATGACACGGTCCTTGACAGTACTCCGTCAACGTTTCTAAAGTTTGATTAATCAGCGCCACGTTGTACTCGTTGATGTAAAGACCGAGGAGGCCCAGTCCACCGGTAGTCGAACCACAGATACAGTCCAGAAACATGAGTGTCTCGGACACCAGGTTGAAGTTCGTCTTGTTATTTTGATTTCGTAGGAAGTTCTGCGAGAGTAAATATTATTGGTCAACACATTGCAGACCGAATACAGTTTTAATGTCTCGCTCAAGTTTAAAGCATACAATCAATGAATACACTAGCAATATCGCTAATATATCACTTACTTCATTACTATTATATTAACATTATAATTAACGCGAGCGCGCGTGTATGTACATACATACATTTTAACGTCCTTCAATATAATATTCATTGAAATATTGTCCTTTATGAAGAGGTACCAAATAGGATTTACAAAAGATACATGTATTAAGTGGTCGATTAGGAGTCGTGTACGGATGATTTAATTTATACTTAAAGATTACATTATCATTTAGTGCTTAGAGTAAAAGGCTAAAGGCTTTACTATACCTATTTTAGATCTCGTTTAAAGAACTGAATCGACGTTTCGAGTTCTCAACGCTTCAGACATTAAAGACGTGCGGTCGTGTCAGATACATATAAGCATAATGAGAAGACGAAGAGTTTCGATGTTACCTGTAGCTCTCTATTGTGATTCTCGCAGAGCAACTGCAAGAAACGCAGAATCGGCTGCATCACCAAGACTTTAGGGCTCAATTGACCCTCGTCTTTCTCGGCACCAGGAGCAGCGCCGCTTTTGTTGTGCAATTTTTCGCTTATGTCATCCAATGAATATCCGAGCACATTATTCGCTGCATCCTCATTAGCCGGGAGACCTCTCATGTTCGCGTACGCCTGTCCGTTCGACGTCGCGACCTGATTCAGTTCCTCGTGCAGCTCGTCGGTTATCACGATTCCATTGGGCTTCCCTGCACAAGTAGAGCGCTTGAGTTTAATCATGAAAAGGTTATTATCCTTTGAATGCTTACAGTAACACACATGACATTGAAATTATTGTCTTGATGACAATGTCTATTTGATCTTATACCTGATGCACGTTTCCGCGATAACTTATCTACTTCTTTACCCTGCTCCTTATCCTCGTGCGCTTTGGCCGCCATGTCGGACGTATTTACAGTCACAGTGGATTTGATCTCTTGCTGGGAATCTTTCATTTTGTCGTAGAACACCTGTACGAAGAGTATAATCAGTAAATTCCAACTGATAGCAACGTTACATCAATATTGTAACTTTTTGCTCAACAATATAAGTGCAATATATGTTGTATGTAACAGCCCGGAACAAAATGTTTATATATAATCGTATAAAAAATTCTATATAATCATATATGAAATAAAACACAGGAAATAAAAATATTGTTGAATGAAAAGCGGGAAGAAAGCTGATTCAATTAAGTTTTTACATGAGCAGCATAAAGCATTTACTACATAAATATTTACTTCAATAATATTCGTATAACAGTATTTTTTTAGATGTAAGAGTTTCATCGCTGAATAGGAAATTGTAACATTGACGTACATTGTTTGCTGGATAATTAATGAAGATATTAATGTCACTATATCTCGATGAGTCTCACATACCTTGAAGAACGACTGGCTCAAGTCACCGCCCATTAATTTATTAAAGACACTTTTCTGTATAATAGGATTCCCGCCCTCCAAGAGAGCGATACCCAATTCCACGGCTTCGACGAATATGCTTGGTGAGTGTATGCTCTTGATCACCAATTCCACCACTAAATCCGAGGCACCTTCGCGGTCGAGATGCGTCTGCACGTCGTGCAACGTTCTACCAGCTCGGCTCAATATCTTCGCTGTAAATGAGAATTCGCGTCTTATACAGGAGATACAAAAAAATATACGAATCATAAATTCTACTAATAATATCGTACAACTCACCTCCAGGTCCATGAGTGATAGTCGCGCTATGGGATACACCGATGTCTACATTCTCCGGTTTCTGCAGAAAACTTTTGCCGAAGTAACGCGTCAGAAGATTATTTCTCAGTGCGTCTCCCTGCGGAAAAAAAGAGTACTTTACGTCAGCGCCTTACTAAATGTTCGAAACGATAGAACGATGTACCAATACACAATGCACAACATTAATAAAAAAAGGTCTAGTACACGTTACGGATATTTCCTTCGTGTATATTCATAAATTCTATCGCATAAATGTGTATATATATGTATATATACGTGTGTGGATATATATACGGACTTGAATCGTATATTTACACAGTCGGTGCTTCGCATGTGCTTAAAGGTGTTGAAAAAAATACCTGTGCAATTTGGGGTGCGTGTAGAAGATCGTATTGTATCACTGACATAAAATTTCTGCAACTCGAGACGGGGTGGGTCAAGTGCAACGTGGAAAAGAAAAGAGACGAAGTTAAAATGTAATTGCAAACAACATTCACATATTTAGACATTAAAGACCAATGAGGATCGTACCAGATTGGACATTTCAATAAATAATTAAACCTGTGCAAAGATGTAAGTTAACAATATCTGTGTAAAAAAAGTGTAAAATTGTATAACGATGTAATATCCTGGGGTAAAACATGTAAGAATGAACAAAATAGTGACACATATCCTGGATGTTGTGCATACGATAGTATCTTGAATATATCAACGTTAGTCGGTATATAAGGTGTACGTGTACGTCAAAAATATTCAACTATCTAGCAATAACACTCATGTTATTGGAGTGAGTAACTAATGACAAAATAAGTCTTCGCACATTCACAGTATACATGATTCCAGTCTAATATTGTTAAAAGAAGAAAATACATGATATAAAATATTATAATTGTAATATTGCAATATCGTTAAAATATAGAATCTATCGTTGTATTGGTACATCTTATACTACACAATATGTATACAATTATATCTATCTATAAAAAAACTTTCCTGTTAATTTCTATCCTTCTTTGTAATAATTTGGTAATAATTGTAATAATTTTTGTAATAATATTGAAGTATATCATACATACAGGTCTTGTTGAACAATAATATCCTCTATAAATAATAGTTTTAAGAACGTGGATTAGTGGAAAAGTCTTCGATGCACGGTAAATATTTTGCGAAATAACGCGCCGATTTTTTAACATGTATGCAATACTCGCATATTTTTCACATATTCTTTTCAACAGCTGTTACCGTGAATCAAAATTACTTTCACATCAAATCACAATCCTTATACATACCATATACTATACAGTATCGATACATGTATAGTATATTTTCTCAAAAGGAAGTTATCCCTATAAAGATAAAGATGACTTCTCTATTGCAAAGTATTGGGAGCGAGATGAAATGATAGGTAGAAATGGATAATATATAAATATAGTAAAAAACGAAGATAAATAAACGTGCATAAATTAGGTAAGCGGCATGCATGAAGTCTCTACACAACGTACATTGTATGTTTTCTACTTTACGGAATTTCACCACACCATTTACGATCTGATGTGTACATATAACATATCACGGATAATCACTTAGTCAACATCTTGGTCACACAATTAGTCAACTACAATTAGTAACATGTGTTGATCGATTCTGTTAGCCTTATAAAGTGAAACATTAAATTATGATCGTGATTTGAAGATATCGGAAGTTTCGAATGTATCTAAATTAGATTCTTTTCTGATGAGGTGGTCTGTAGGTGTGTTTCTCTATTTCTTTTTGCTCTTTCGACAATGCAACAGCATGTAATATCGCGACGCGGCGTTCGCGCGATTTTTTCACCGAGAACTCTGTTCAGCGCCCGATATAAATTTCTTTTCTCATATACGTTGTGCCCAGATTCTCCGTTCTATCTACTTTTAATTTTTACCGGGTCTTGCTGAGTCACTTCTCGATTCTCAGACTGATCATCGGAACTTGTTGCGACTTGTGACTCGCCCTTCGTTTCTGACTCCTTCTCTTCCGAGATACCCTCGTTCTTCGTTCGCAGCATGAAAACATCTTTACCTACAGATCTATTCTACAAGACCTACTCACCCGACGCTAACAACGCTTTGCGGCGCATTGAGAAAACTTATTAACTTTTGCGCTTTCGTAATTATGCGGCAAGCCAAATAAATATTTAATCGCGCATTAACCGTCTAATGTGCTGTGAGCGAACGGGCATTCAGCTTTGGCGAGGAGCTACGCCGTGAAACTCCGGAGCAAGTACTTGGCGCACGCGCAAAGTGGAAAGTTTTTAATCCGGCTTCCTTGAAAACTTTTCAATCGTCTTTCTTCCGCGACAAAGGCTCAACGCTACCGCAATGTTCCTGCGTATCTTCTCTGCCACTGTACCGTGAGCCTATTTACGAGAGAGCTGAATGCCCTTTACCGCGATGCTGTGTTATCTTCCTTGTATGATAAATGATTCATGTAACTTCATGCAAGACGTAATTGCACGACACTCACCTTTTCTCCGTATTCAGGATCGATGGCCATCATTTCCCGGAGTGTCCTCAAAACTTTCACGCATAATTTCTCCTCCGTCTCCTCTAGCAGCTTTTCAGTGTGTTTAATTAACCTGCGAAGTGAAGATATGTAGACAAATTCTTCATGGTTTTGCTGAGCTATTGCGAGTAACTTTACCTTTTGATAAAGCCACCGCTCTCGCATCTCTTTCTGGCGTCAGTCGCTGCAGGAAACAACAGTTCGGGTCGATAGAGAATGTCCACTAACAAGGATAATTCCGACTGTACCAGAGGTTTCAATTGTTCCTCTAACAGAGACACTATGTCCTGCAGACCTTCTATGATACTCCGATCTAGACGCATCAGCTAGACAAAATTCAACGATATTAATTCAACGGATACGTTATCTCTTTCTTAATAATAAAGCTCATATGTACATGAACTTTCGTACTACACTACAAGAAACTAATTGTAAGTTTACTTAAATTTAAATACAGTTCACAATATATAAAGCATGTACGAATATTTCATACATATTTAATATTTAATACTTCATTAAACGGTACAAACGAGAGAAATATTTCCAATCCCGTTCATATGATTTACTCTAAGTATCAAATAAAATATTTCGTTGATCATATTATATGTATATATATATCTGTTATGTATAAATTGTGTGTATGTGTGTACATAGCTATGACACAACTAATTAACGTTTTCAGTGAACAGCACTGTCATCCAGTCACCGAAACGAAAAAAGTGAAATAGTGATTGCTTCCTGACAGAAAAAGTAACAAAAAAAATGAGATATCAGATATTCTCTCAGATATCAAAATAATGACCCAAAGCTGCATTTTTTGTCAAATTCTGAGAGTAACTGAGGCCATTTAAGCAAAAAAGTAACACTTATTTTCGGATAACTTAACATATAGCAAGTTTTTTCCCATAATACGATTTGAACGTCCATAACAACGAAAGATCAAGGGCATGAACGATACAATACAAATACGCTTTCGGAGCACTTTTAGTCAGAGAGGCGGCAAAAATATATATAAACGTCTATATTTTACAAATTTAACAGCAGCTCAGGAAAAAATAGCGACTATAATGATCTATTTTAGACGATACCTAACAAACACCAATTAATAGTAACATAACATCGATGTTACAATTTCCCACTCAACAATGTAAATGCGATATAATTTCTCGTGTTATGTAACAGTTATATTTTCGAGTGACAAATTATAACATTATTAATGTTATGTTACTGTTAGCTGGTATTTGCTGGGTAGTGAATTTTTTAGTAACTTGTCAAGAAAAAATGACAAAAGGTGACTTAAGTGACTGCGTGACAGCGCTGAAACATACAAGAAGTCCACGTGATTTATATGTACAACAGCGTACTAATATCAGCACTACATAGCATCACTAAACTAGTGCATGAAGTGCTACGTTTCCGCGAGTGACCTTTACCTCATTGTCAGAGCCTTCCATACAAAGTAGGTCACTCTATACATTTAAGCAAATTGATTACATGTTTGATTGATTTGCTCACACGTGAATGGCGTGTACAATCGCACTGACGTATCGCGCAGTACTATTGTTGTAAATTACCTGGCTTTGACTACGCTCGATCTTCGGTTGCTTAGCTGCTTGTAACCACTTGTTGGTCTGTCTACTGAGCATGGCTGCCTTGTTGAACATAGCAGCAACTTGACTTTCCAGATCAGTCGGTATGGCAATGCCTCTTCCTTTGGCTAAAATTAAGAAAGGAGACGATTTCGCCCGTTACACTTACTGCCCAAACGAATGAACATTACTCAAGCCAGCGATTCTTTTACGAATCAGAGGGATACTCACCTACATCTGACAGTGTCCGTATGCAATTCTCGACGTTAAATCTTTGTCCAGCATTTAACCATGCACATTGTGATACTTTAAAAGCTGCATGAAGCAACTGAACAAATATAGGTTGCCTTGTCTGTTCCATGAAAAAAGTAAATGCAAAAATCAATTAAAATTTTCCATGTTATGATAGCAAAAGAAAAGGAAAACTACATCGTCGAGCTACTTATATAGAAGCTTTCTATATAACTTCATATGTTCATTATGTTTAAGATATATATGTAAAAGTGACAATATATCAAAACTTGACGTATCATACATATTCAGTACAATATATTCCAAAACTGTATATCGTTAGTGCATCTAACCCAGTATAATTTTCTTCCTTACTTTTATTTACACATAAAATCACCCTTATATTTTATAATGTCGCCTTGCATAAAGTGTAACACACTCATTGCCAAGCAGTCCGAAAAGAGAAATATCATGTACATGCTATATGAATGGCAAACTTTCCTTTGTAAGTTAGAATAATTTGGGAAACATATAGATAGAGTGTGAAAGAGAATATCTTGAGGAAAAAAGGGGACAAAATAATCGTGGTTAGCAACGACAGATGTGGCTTACAAGTGTGATTGCATCCAACGACGACAATGAATGTGTTAATTTAGTTATGCAGAGACATGTGGTGCATAGGCGTACGTAAAAAAGAGAATGCAGCTTGTATTTACAATGGCAGTTGCCCTGTGCTGCTGAAGCGTCTGTAGTAGCCAATCGCGATAATTTACAAATATAATGTACAATCCAGAAACTCGTTTATCACGCGCAAACAAATTCTTGTTATCACACGTAACCGGATGAAAAAATATCTTCATATATTCATTATAACTCTACGAGATATTACACCACATCTTGATTCATCTCTTCATTGCATTTTTACCCAAAATTAAGAGAGGATTCTAGCATTCGATACTCACATAGCCAGAAAGATTATTATCTGTATTCCGATCGCACTCCTTGATGTTCCAATAGAGTCTAGCCTCGTGCAGATGTTTCTATTAGTAAACCAACCCACCACCGTATAGACCCATATTGTACCCATAGACCCAGTAAACCAATGTCATTGGTTCAAAGAAGACCGGGTGTTGCATGCCAAAAACACAGAACATGCCGCTGATGCAATCAGCAATGACCAAGTACACATCATACAATATATATTTGACACTATGATATTAATTGTATCGATCTCCAGTTTATTGCTCTAAATAATGATGTATAAAAATTGTACAAAAAAAATATTATGTACAAATTATATAACAGAACCAGAGCAACTGTTTGATTTAATAATACAAAATATAACAAGATGCCAGTTAAAACTTAATCTACACGTTAAGAGGTGTCAACTAAAAAAAATATAATTCACCACGCGATATGTTGCTGGGAAAGTGAATGGAAGTTTCTCTTTATACATGTGTGTGTGACATGTACTTGGTTAGTAAGTGAACTTAATTTTATGTGTTCCCATGCAAAGCGAGAAGTTATTAGATATAGTGAATGTAGATGTATTCTGCGTATGCCATGTTGTGATTAGAATATGTCTATTGTCATATGCTAATTGTTCTATCTAGTTATCCCCCTTTAGAAAAAGGCAAAGATCATTCTATTGTATAATGTTTCATCATGTGTCAATGTATATGTATTGTTTCTTTCTCGTATAGAACACTGTGTCATATAATAATTGAAACAAGTAGGACTTAATCGATCCATTCTTATATACGACATCTGTGCGATAATATTTCCATGAAGAACAAGGTGCTGAAATGACACACCACATAAATCTCATTGTCAACATTAATTCTGGATACTTAAAAAGCGTGAATTCCGTATTCCATTGTGAAGAAATCGATCGTTTATCCGGTGCTAAACTAAGTATTGAAATTAAATACTGCACCGTCACATTAGATTTGCCGAAGAAATAAATATACCAATAAGATGTTATAACATGTAGATAGATCAGTTAATTAAAAAAGAGGAAATATAGAGATATGTGTATATGTATATATATATATATAGATATTGAAGATAATTAGATATTTTTTTCTCATAGTGCAACAAATGAGGACGTTACCTGCACAGTGGTGCTTTGATCGGAAAACGGACTGCTGAAAAACGTGGATATAATGTTCATTAGACAACCCGTCACGTAAGTTTCTAAGGCTGTATCCGCGTGCTGTCGATCGTGAGTGGACGATGCAATTAAACTCATGTCAACTATAAAGGACTTTTCGAACAGAGACCACATATGATTTGACGTGTAAATCTCCTTCATTTCGACTTCCGTGTCAATGTAACAGTGATTGAGAAAATTGATGTACGCTTCTTTCACCTGAAACGCATGAGTATAAGCCACAAATCAATAATTTATCTCAATGTAATTGTAGGTAGATGCTAAAAAAAATTCGGTAGGAGGCCTACCTCCGGTATAGAGTCCGGATGTGATACCATGGCGACGATATCATCCAATGGTAAGAGACTGTGACATTTAATCTCGGTATTGACATTCTTGCCCATCGTACAGCAGGCCAAAAGTTTCACCAATTCTACATGATATCTAAAAAGCACATATTTAAAAAAATGTATGAAATAAATGTAGAGGAACGTAATTTTCCTTGATAAATATTAAAGTTACGAGTGATTTCCTCGAGAGCCACCGTAACTATGACATCTGCGATGAAATTATCTTAAAAACACAAAGAAACGACTTACTTCAGCGGGCTGCTTTCGTCCATACGATGTCTTTCGGATCGCATCATCTCCACGAAATGATTGAAAGAAGCTCTGTCATTGTAAAAGACCAAGACATCTTCTCCAGATTGAACCAACTGGAAAGGAATGAAGAATAGTGAAGAAATCTCTTGCGGGAGCCAGCATGTGTAAAACAACGCAACGCGCGGAAAGGGGAATCTCACCTCCTGCATCACCATCTCCTGACATTTTCTGATAAACTGATTCTCAGCTTTCACTATGGTTTGCAAAAACTTCAAGTACTGCACGTGCTTGCCGTGCGTCTCTATGCAATGCACAAAGTGCTGTATGACTTTCGGGTTGACCTCGTTGCAGAGGACAGAGTTGTCCTGAAAGATGCTGCACACCGTTTGCGCCTCTCTAATACCGGGATTCAAGAAAAGATCCAACTGTTTGTGCAGCAGGACCTGGTTCTGCTGGTTAGCCAGACAAAAGTTCTGCAGGAAATCGTGCGCCAGGCGCATCAATTCGTTCATTCTGATGTCCTCTTTGGCGTCGAATGGTATTTGCAACAGATCCAAGACGACAGTGTGCACTCCGACGTTACGCAAAAGCCGTTGCTCATGTTTGCGCGCCTTCAGTTGGCCACAGAGCATAGGTTGAATGCAAAGCTTGTTCATTCTCATTAATATCTGCTGGATCTTTTTGTACTCTTCCGCTTGATCGGGGTGCAACGGCGGTCCGATGTCCAAATCGATGGCAGACTCTGTAATTAATAAAACAATCAAGTCTGCCTCTGCTTTGCGTAGGAAGAACGTGCAGTGCATAAAGCGGCAATTATTTGATAAAAACCTTGTTTATCCAACATAGATAGCAGAGGTTTCCGGGATGAAGTGGTCCCCTCATCCTCCTCCTCCTTGCTCTTCTTCTTTTTGTTTCCGTGTTCCTCCGCCGCCTTGGATTTATACACCCACAGCTCAGATTTCTCGACAGACTGACGCAAAACGTCCAAGTCCGCTTTGATCTGTTTATAAGACTCCACGTCGCTGTCCGAAACTAAAAGCTGCACCTGTTAACAGCGTTCATGCATCATTAATCTCTCTCTTAATAATGCATTACACCACCCAAGAGGGAGGGAGTCTAACCTGCTTAAACGCCTGAAGAACTTCTTGTCTCTGGCTAAAGTGCCTGAATAATAGATGCAAAGCCCCAGAAACTAACGGAGGATAATCGTGCATGGCTAAATGCAGCAGGACACGGAGGAACGTTCTGCCACCTTGACCGTCTAAATCCAGCGCGGCGCATTCCTCACTGGAAGATATTTCCGTAAAATATCTTCGTTCTCACATCTCGTACCCGAAGATACGTAATTACCTGCTGCCGAATATCCCTTCCGCCTGTGTGCCGATCGACTCCAAATCGATAGTCTTCTGTCCTAGATTCACGTCTCCGGAAGACCTCTCGGTTTCGTCGAATTCTTGCTTGAATATGCTCAAGAGGCAAGAGATCCTGTAATCCAGTCGAACGTCGAGAATGAATTGCAGGATCTCGATTATCTTGAGCTTCGTGTCCATCACCAGCGGATATTCCTTCTTCATCAGCGGCTTCGGTCTGGGCGAAGAGCTAGCTAGCACTTGCCCGGCTGGTCCTAGTGTTAAATTCGTCATCACAGCGCCCATGTCACCGATGCATCTAAGAACACCTCCTTCGGCTGTTACAACATACCGCAAGAGAGACATTCTTATTGAGACGTCATATGACAAACAACGCCGTTTACACATATTGTCCAATCACAGTGCAGTGGAGCAAAATTTAATTCGTGTTGAAAGACAGAATTTTACACATATGGAAACTAATGTGTGACATAATGCATTTCACTTCGTTTTGATGTTAAAATTTAAAGGCAAAAAACTTGGTTATTCTCTTCCCGAGAAATTCGTTTGAACATTTCACTCCAAAATCGTTACTAAAATAAAGCACGCGTAATGTTCATAGAAACCTGATTATTAAACGTATTACAATGTATAACACTTATTTCTCTCTTTGTATTTGGAAAAATACCACAATTCTCCTAACAAGAATTTAATAAAAAGAAAACGAAAATTTTCGGGCAATTAAAATTATGGATCTACTTGGTACAACATACAAAATTGCATGCTGAATCTTGCTAACACACATTGCGCACATCACAGTATAACAGTTTTCAATGAGCTTTCTAGTAGCGTATTACCTGCCTCCTCGGAATCCACTGAATCAGCTGTGATGAAATATTTACAAGAGTAAGTTGATTAGTTTCGATTGTACCTACTTCGTCGTGTGTTATAAATAATTTACCAAAGTCGCGCAAGAGAATACTTTGTCAAAGAAATCTCTCCGAAGCGTGGGACACATATAATACTAATATATTACAACGCTATGAAGAAGAACATTATGTACAAGGTTCTCCAAAGTACTGTATTCAAAAGCTCGTATATGTCCGCAAACGAGGAACTCCGGGGAAAAAGACTCGTTATATCAGTATGATACATCGATATGGCACAAGATAAAAAAAATCAAACTTTACTGCGATTATACGATTGCTACCATGCGCGCAAATGTATATATATACGTTAGAAGTGGATTCACTACATAGCACCGCCTGTGGGGTTTATCGATCTATGAGCTTCGATCGGCGAGCGATATAGAATACGGTATATAGATGATGTATACTCATACAGAGTAATTGAATTGACACTTACAATCGATATCGCCCGTAGGGATCTTCCCGTCGGCGGAGTCGTTCTCTGATACGCAGTCCAAAATACTAAGCAACGTCTTTGTTAAGCTTAATAGATCGTTAAAGCTGTAGAATCCGAAATATATTAGATCACGCGCTAATTTAACAACCTGCAAGCAACATGTAAGAGCAACAAGTGAATGTAATGTATTTTGTACGTCGCACAGTGGTGAATTGCAATAAAATCCTGGCCAAAACCTAATAAGTGAAAGTAGATTTTCAGAGTTAAAATGTATGTTAGCTTAAGCTGAATATACATAGAAAGTAAGAAAATTATTTTAATTTCCTTGAAGCGCCAGATTGACTGCTGGCAGCGTCCTCTATGTTATTATTTTGGCGTTAACGTTAATGTCTTTAGCGTCATCAATATGGATTCAGCTGCTGCAGGTTCATAAAATATATTCAGTAGAAATAAATATTACAATATTACAAGTTTTTATTAACTTAGGTAAAAAGTATTAAATTCGACGGAATCCGGTGAAGTTTTTGCTATGATACTATAACTTTGTATGTCTAATATTGGAATATAAAAACATATTCTGCTGATATTTGTATGGAAAGGTTAAATGTGAAGCATTTAACCTTTTCGTTACCAAGAGTGATTATAGTCATCGCCCATGTACGACTCGCTTTAAGTTATTAATAATTGTTAATATTTCCTTAAATCGTAATTAAAACAAAAATGCAGAATTAAAAAATGGAAAAATGATTGTAACAGATACTATAGTTGAGAATGAAATATTAGCGAAAATTAGAAGCAAAACCCTTTGTTATTTATAAATATTATTTTTAGCTACTTTCGCGCATTTGTACGACTTTGAGAAGTTTTTGCGAGGATTTCGCTGGAATTCGCCACTGTGCATCGAGATGAATATATAGAAGCATACGCTTCTCTCACGCACCTCGAATGTGAGCTTATTCTGCTCCTGGTCTCCGAACGACCACATTTTCGCGACAACATTGCAGAGATAGTCCTCAACGAACATGATTGTCGAGCTGAATTTCGTGCGAACAGCCTCTTTGTTCTGATCCGGCATTCTGTTCGTGTCGTAACTGAAAAATCACGGGACAGGAATTTCAATGTCTCTCACGATACTCATCCTGTTCCTTGGGCGCGCGCACGTATCGCTGTTTCTACGTACTCGTTTATGCTCATCTTGGACGGGATTTCCGACCAGAGGCGGGCGTACTTCACAGGCGTCACTTGCTCCTGCGGATCTCTGTCCACGTGCAGATGTAGCATAAGCCGGCAGAACGACGCGCGTAATTCGTACGGCACCGTCTCGTCCTCCATACATCTGAAAAGTCACGTTGCATCACATATTATGTAACTCGCATTGTATATCATCTGAGAATAATTCTCGAGGATGACGGAGATGAGCGCCAACGACTTACTTGAGTATAAGATCAATGTCCAAATGTGGCGACAGATTGTTCAGCGCTAAATACTGTCTATTGAGGCACATGTTACTGAACAGATTCAACTGATGCCTGTAATAATCGAGTATCGCTGCGTCCTGAATATTTCCCATCTTCGCTCCTCGCGACAGCTCGCTCAGAGACATCGATTTCTGCGAGACGCATCGTATTAAGTCAATTTACGCGCGCGTTACATCTCGATCGGCTATTACCGAGCGCATACTCACGGCTCCATTATTCCACTCCAACACAACCTCGAACTCTTCGATTACGGTGATCCTCGGCTCGGCGTTTTCCTGCTTCTCGTCGATGTCCTCGACTTCCACCTGAGTCTTCACCATTCTAAAGTAAATCCGAGTGTATCAGAGAAATGAATCGAGCGTTCCACGCACGGATCGTCGTACTCACTTCGTTTCCAGGAGAATATCGTTGTTCTTTTCGCTGAGCACGCTCTTGCAGATCAGTTCCTGCGTCACGGCGATCGCCTTCTTATTGGAGATGCACAGATCCGACAAGTAATCGAGGAATCTCGATTCCCAGTTATGCATATTCTTCCTGACGAGGCCCACGAACGTCTCTATCTCCGCGGCCGTGATATGCTTCTCCAGTAATTTTCTGTTGTTGTGCAAAAGCGCGGTGATCGTATCTTCCGCCAGAATATCGTAGCCGATTTGTTTTTGCATAAATGCAAAGTGCTTGGCGATGTATTCCTACCGCAAAAATCAATCGCCCTATCTTACAACAACGAGCGAGACAGTTTACAAAACACGAGAAGATAAATAAAAAAAAAAAACACGAATAATAACAGCCGATTCACAGTGTCGCGCAGCGTTTTCATGGACAAAAGCCGTTTTACGAAACGTTGAATGGAAAGTTCTCCTTGTTGCAAATCAAAAGTATAGTGTCTGAAGTATAAGACGCGTACATAAATAACACGAATTTCTGAAAAGCCGTGTGCCCGTGAAAGCAGGCGCTGCGCAACACGTATAACGCGCGAACGAAACGAATACCTGATTCTTCCTGTAATCTTGCTGAGAAAGTCGGAGTATTCGATAACACAAGCGAAACATGTATTTATACGGCGCGTGCCTCGGATCGTTAAGCTCCTCTATCCTAAGAAATGGTCCCTCACCCTCCGCGGATTCCAAGAACGGAGCCTGTAATTAAAGTTACCTGAAAATCGTGCTCTGACAGCACGCGCTGCGCGACGACCAGTGCCGAATCACCTGCAATATTTTGAACAATTGACCGAGGATGTACTGTTCGCGTAACAACTTCTGCCGGTCTCTCACGGCATTCGCGACGACCAATTCTAACGCCTCGGATTTGTTCTGTTCGTTCTCCAAGCCGGCTATGAAGTACACGATGTCCTGCAACAAGCTAGTGACAGCCCGGCGTTCGTTGTGCGAGATCGTTCCCTTCTCCAGCTTGCTGCTCATAGCCGTTAGCACCTTGCAGGCGTCATTCGCGAAATCTAGATCACGTACTTCGACCGGCGACACAGATCTCAAGGCGAAGGCCTCTTTGTCTTCCTTACTGATCGCGCAGCCCACCTTGAGGAAGCAATTGAATATCCCCGTGTGAGATTTATACCCGTATATCTCTTTTACAATCTCTAACTACGATCGTTAGAATGCAATACCTTCGACATCACCGGCTTCTCGTCGTCCTTATCGATTGGTACGCTCGTTGAATGAACCCAAGTGTTCGTGCATATGTGATGTAACCTGACAAAGGACGATTGCGGAACTAGGCTGTCGCCTCGCGTCAACGTCGTCGGGTCCAGCTCGAACAGGGAGCTGATCTCGTTGCTGTGCGGCACTGACACTAATCTGTACACCGGTCCAGGTGGATCTGTTATAAGCCATATAGTACAAATATATAATTAGAGTAATGCGACATAATTCACCGGACAACGTAAGTCTCGATAACACACAATACGTAATTCACATTGGAAACAAAAGGGGGTCTTTTTATCGAGAAATCAACCTTCGTATGAAACGCAACGTGTAAATCCACTTGGGAATATTTCATGCATAGGCAAATATTTAATGCAAAATTAATCCCGAAACACACATCTATACCATACCGCGCTTGCCTTTTACGGGTTCCCGTGGCTCGTCCGTATCAATCTCGGCAGCGAGATACTGGCCGGTCGCTAGATGCTTAAATCTGAAAAGTGAATTCCAGTGACCGGCGCCTCCTCTGCACGGATCGTGTTGCACCACCTGCCATCGAAAGAAATCGCTCATGAGAAGCGTACGCAGAGAAAACGTGTCGCAATGAACATTTTCACAACCGTACATAATATTTGCCTTGCAGCCGGCAGATTTTGGAAGTTCGCTTAGACTAAAGAGACAAACATCTTCTTGATATTCTATATACGATCTGTTATTTTTAGCTAAATTGGCTGCACTAGTTCAAGAAATGTATATACACATCGAAGCGTATAAAGCATATGTGCGAGGGAAAGCATTAATAGTGTCTTCTATACGGATAATTTCAAGTCGTCCTTCTCTCTGAAGAAATAAATTGGAACGAGACGTCAGAAACGATTCCATGAAGGATACGGCACTAACTCGGAAGTAAAATCAAATGATTCTAGACTGTTGCTTCCTCATAATCACTGGCGGAATGAAGTGACGCGTAAAGTGTTCTACGAAACGGGCGGTACCAATGAAATTCAATGAGCAGAAATCGCTCGACTCACCTCGACTTCCCACAGGGCCTTGCTGCTAGTGGCGGCGGTGGCGCTTGTCCTGCCGGTGGTCCTCAGGAACACGTGCTGCTTCTTCTTGTACTCGTCCATCGTGAGGAACTTCTCCTGCTCGGCGTGGAACAGCCGTACGACGTCGCCACCTTTGAGAATTTCCTCCTGATTCTCCCGGTGTTCCATAAAGAGGGTCACCTTCCACGAGGTGGACGAGTTCACGACGTTCACCTCCTTGCAGCCGGGATTGTCGCTCAGCTCATAATTGGCGGCCACATGGAGACCCTGTCGACCCGCGTTCACCGGCTCCATGATCACCTTGTCGCCGACGACCACGCTGTCGCCGTCGCTGCGCAATTTGTAGAACGGCATTATGTAAAGCCACGAGCCCTCGTTGCCGTTCGCGTCCAAGTAGACCCTCATCGCGTTCTTCTCCAGCAAGGCCGGCAGTCTCTTGTTCACCGTCAGGAATTTGTTGGACTTGAGATGCAGCAGCTGCGGCGCGAACGAAGAGAAACGTTCACACGGACGCAGTACAAACGCACAAAATGCAGATAAATGTAAATTTCTGCGACGAAGCGTTCGTTATTGGATTCTGCATTAATTACTTATTTATACATTTACGTTTCACGTCGCATCCGCGAGCGTAATTCAGGCTCGCCGATTATCCCGTCGGATTAATTTATATGCGCCGTGATAAATGAAAATAAGCGCACGGAATGTTCGATAATGCATAACCGCGATATATGATCCGAGATAACAGCGGGGTTAATCGATGCGAAATCATACGGCACATCATCGGCAAGGAGCCCGAAGAAAAATGAGAATGCATCGATAATGCAATAATACGTTACAGCAGAAATTGATCGAACGTCTGATGCCGGCAGCTGCGGTCGACGGTGCGATCTCGATGCAATAAACGCGATACATGTTCTTGACATTTCTCAGGGTGAAATTTCACTCGCTAAGAGAAGCGACAGCCGAGCCACTTGAATTCGAGTGATTTTTCGCTCACACGCAGCGCGAGTCCTCCAGTTTGAATTGCTTCACTCGAAATGGAATCTGACGTATTCCATCATCACAAGAACAATTTCATTCTAATCGATTGGAACATTCACTCGTATAGAACAAAAATTCACTCTAAGCTTGAGTGAAAGATTCACTATTTACAATTTCGAGTGGCAGGTTAATCGCTCGTTTTTTAACAAGAACATCGCGACTCGAAAGGGCAAATCGTGTGCTACGAGATACTTAATACCGCCGCGGCGATTCTATTTTCCGACAAGGCAACGATATACATCACGCAAGTGAGGAAACTTGTTAATTCAGCGAGCACATATCGCATGTTCTCTATAGGATAACCGATGCCGATGGACATGCGACGGTTCTGCCAACCAAACAGTTTTTACGATCGCTTTGTAAAAAAGAGCGTTAAGGGAGGAAAGCGCTCCCCTAACGCGGTATTGATGAATCTATTATTATTTATAAACACCATGGTCACTTTAACGTTGTAAGAATACGTGGTCAGGCATAAAACGCTCAAGATACACTTTAATAAATAATATCTACTTGGAAGAGATTTTTTCTTCTCTAAAGGGAAGCGATTATTTCCCTTACCTGTACGACGTTGCCGTACGACACCACGCTGCCCAGTAGTTTCTTGTTTTCAGTCTCATTTTGCTTTTTCTCGATTTCAGCCGCATGCTGCGATCAGAATGAGTCACGTTGAAACGGCGTGCAAGCCGTGAGACAGGCATATAGTCATGTAGCCGGCGGCAAAAAAGTCGCGACACTTTGCAATTTGATGAGTTTCCGAACAAGAAAAAATCGCCCGACCGTCCCGGCGATTTCCGTCTATTCCGGGGCGCGTCGAAAAGAAATGACCTTTATACCGTTGACTCGATCGGGATGTATTCCGAATGACAAAGATAAAACGCACGTAGTCTCAAACACCACGATATCGGAGTGAACGTGAAACTTGGCGGGCGCCGCGTTGAGACGTTTCGTCGACCTTTCGTTCTTTTCTTAATTTTAATGGCCGCTTCACCGGAGACATAATCAAGCGCTCTTCCCCGTGATTAAAGAATTTGATTGGATAATGTGAACCGGTCACATCATAAGAACCGGTTTGATATCTCCTATCTATAGGCGCCCGGTTACGAGCGTTATCATGCGTTTATTACTGGTCGGACGCGTGTCGCATATTTATAAAACGAGCTGTATGAAATCTCGGTGAACGAATATGTTCTCTGAGGTTAACCGACTTAACGATGTATATGGAGATTTTTGCAACTTACATGAAGCCTCTTTAGCAAGACGGCGTCTGTGCCGGAGCTCGCACTCTGTTTCGCTGCCTTCCAGAACTGCTTTTGGGCGGAATACCGGTTCATAGGACATATTTTGAAGAGGCAATCTATAAAAAGCAATGATCGCTATCGCCCGAGACCTTTTATTACGCTCGCCTCAACGTCATCGGTCCGCTTGGAACACTTCACGGACCGATGACGTAAAGAAGAATTAAACGTCGAGCGAATCGCCGATAATTTTTCTCGATGTCTCTCGCTGTAGTAAGGATCAGTTAACGAGCGACCGCCGCGGACATTTATGTATTACCTCTGAATTTCTTCGGTGGGTTCGACAAATCTCCAGCTTCGGGACATACCACACACCTGTCGTCGACCAACCTGAAAGCAACAGCACACATTGCCGGACGCGAACAGATTAACGCAATTAATAGTGATATCAGCCGAATCGATTACGATAGATAACAGATTATCGAAATTTTCGCGACAATTTTTTCTTTTCTTTCACGTCTTCCATTTTTTCCAGTGGATATGCTAAGGGAAAAAATAGCTAATGTCAGTAAAATTATAGTCATCTTCAAAACGCTAATCGTTAATAAAACTTATTTTACAAAGATGTTCAAAGTGATAATGATTACTGCCTCACCTTGCATAATTCTTCTATTAAGCGATTATATTATTAGTCATGAATACCAAACGATTTTTCTTCAATGTACGAGAAGATATCTTCGTGCGTCTGTCAAAACAACGAAGCGGTTGTAATATTACGATCGCTTCGTTATCATATTACGCGTATTGTCATATTAAGATACTGCAGAGGGAATTTTTCGTTCGTTTATCGCGTTACCCTCCATTTCTCTCCCTCTCTTTCAATATTCTTTCTCTCAAACCGTAACCGGTCTAATCGCATCATCTAGTATATTAAACGTGTACATATCCAGCATATTAAACATGTACACATAGTGTGATAATACACGAAGCTTCGGCGTGATACCATGGACAACACCTCTGGTTTCGCATCGCAACTACGCAAAGCCGATATTGCGGCCAAGCCATCGTTAAATAAATATGGTCCAGGCGGAGCGGAGCGGGTCGATATCGGAGGCAAGCTTGCAGTCTTGTCCGATGGTTCTAAAGCATCGCGCGAGACGACGGCTTTCTCGCTTCGCGAATGGAATCGCGCATGCAGGATCGCGAAGCATTTAACAAGACGCGATGAGATCCGTACTCACTATTCTGCACCGTCGCATGTCGCGGGCACTATTTTTATTTTATATGCCCGGGATCCATCCAATCACAGGTACAAAAAAGAAATGAAATAATAACTGCGCTTCTTGGCAGAATAGATGACAAAAAGCGGTCTCTTGGACTAAAAAATAGAAAATAGCGAGCAGAGTGCCATTTCTTGTCAAATGCTGAGAGTAATTAAGACCATTTGTGTGAAAAAGTAATACTTATTCTTATATACCTTCCCAAGTTTATCTTTGGGTAACTTAACATACAGCGAGTTCTTTTCATAGTATGATTTGAAAATTCATAATAAGAAAAGACCAAGGGCACGAACGATGCAAGTACGCTTTCGGGACAATCGGAGCAGACGAGATAAAAATACATATAGAACGTCTATATTTTACAATAGTGAATTTTTTAGTGACTTGTCAAGAAAAAGCGACAAAAGGTGATTCAAGTGACTGAGAATGGCAATACTGTACAAATCGCGATTATAATTTCGATCATTTACCGTCGTACGATTTTACGTCACGCGGACGTCGCGGCAATTTCCTCCGCAAATTGAACGTCGTATCGCATGCTTCGTGTGCATCCTTTTTTTTTGCACCACGTCGCACAGAGGAACGCGCGAGAAACATTCTTCAAAGCGCATTCTGCATTCCGCATTCTTCATTCTGCGGCGACAAAGACGCGATCGCAACTCCGGCCGACACCGAGCGAGCTATTGATCCAGGTATTTCGCATTAATGGAGCACGCAGAGATAATTCCACGTCCTGCATAATATAATTAAGCGCAGCATCGGTGACGGATCATTGGAAACCACGTGGGACACGCAAGCGTACGCCAGAAATGTTGACGGTGCGCGAAATCGTCTCGTCGCGCGCCTTAAGACTCTTCGTTCGGGATATTATGCTCTGCTGCTGAATGGTGTTGGTACAGCAACCCGGAAAGCTCGGCCCACAGTAATCGTATACTCGGATCGCGGCTCAATCTCGAGTGTGAACCGAAAGATATCGTCGTTCCTTCTTATCTCGCACAAGCCAATAATTAAGATAACACCTGTGAGACCGAGTCACGTGCCGATTAACATTTCGTTAATTGAACACCCGCCGGTTCACAGTACTCGGCGTCGTCCGCTCGAAACGTTTGGAAACGCGGAATCGCACAATTTTCCTCGACCCGTCACATTTGTCAGGCACGCGGCGGCAAGGATTGGCATTTGCCATTTGCCGCTTATTCACATCGATTTCATAAATTATTGACTAACTGCGCTTTCCCTCGTCGAACATGCTCCGTTCGCGAATTAATCAACGTATTCAGACGAGCGTCGCTGAACGCACCGTTTGTTAAACGGCGCTTCGCGCGTGTACGAATATATATATAAGCTCCCCCGCCCGACTTGCTAACAAGATTGCGATTAGGTTGCTCGCCGCAAAGGTAAGCTCCTCTCGCCACTAGCAGACTGGTGAGAAAACGTTATTCACGACTCGCGTCTCCTCCGAATCCGCAAGCCGCGCGAAGCAACGACTGTTGCATCGTGCCGTTTTCCCGTCTACACTAACCCATTTCGTTTCTTTGTTCCTACTATTTAGAAACAGCTAATTTACCTATTTTGAAAATTTAGTATCTATGATAAAAGTAGACTCTAGCCTAGATCTTGTTGTTGGAATATATTATATTCTAGCAATAACCTTGCAAAACATATCTTTTTAATTCATTGCCTCACCTTTTTCGTTAATTAATTAAAAATAGAAAAAATAACAAATTGAAAAAACAATGATGAAGTATTGCTGCGAAAAAGTTCAAATCGTCGATAATGACGATCCCCGTTATGGTATGATTCATGGTTATGGTTGTTTGTATTTAGTATATTTTGGCAATGTACTAATACCAACTCAAAGCTGATAGTGCGCCTTTCGATTGTGTTATTTTAACGTATCGTTTATCGTGTATCCTTAAGCGTCGCCATACGTTGTGTTTAGCACGCAATAAGGCAAATATTATTATTGTCATTATTATAACATAAATATGTGCTAATGAGACAACACTCATGAATATCATCCGGACTCCAGGGAACGATATAAAAAGGGGCAAATAAAAATGTCGTATTTCGCCGTCAATCTTATTTTCATGGAAAAGCATACAAATTGCGTTATGCACGCTTTTATCCGCCTCGCAACACGGTAAAATCGGTAATAAATGTAATATCGCGCGGCAAGGTCAGCGATATTCACACACACTCTTACTCGGTGGGAGACTTTTAAAAATATTTACAATTTATTTTATCGTATAAATATATATTTTTAACCGCGGATGTGTGAAATATTGTGCTCGCGCACGAGAGCGGCTGCGCGCCGCTCGACTTCTTCGGACCGATTAATCGCGAGCGATCTCTCTCCTGTTTTATTTTCGCGATGTACAATCAACGTCGTATCGATCTTCCGGTGACGGCCGTGCCGACGGGCGTTGGATGTCGCGCACGGTGGAATATCGCTCGCGATTTTCCGGCAGTGCTCGCCGAAACAACAAATCGATCGTACGATAAACCGGAGCGCGCTCCGAGCGCCAAACGAGAGCGAAGAATTTCGATCCGGTGGGCAAACACACGGGACGGGTTGTTGGCGCACAGCCGCAGATTCGCGCATGTACTTGACGTGATTAACGACGGTGGTTCGCACATCGTGATTAACATCGTCGCTTCTACGAAGCCGCCGTACGAAGAGGAAAGCGTGAATTCGGTTTGCCTTACGTAACGACGGGTCAAGTGGTGCGAGAGTCGGTGCCCTCCTTTAATCTATCGCGAGTAAAACGTGCCTCCCTCTCTCTCTCTCTCCCTCACTCTCGACGGAGAACGAGAGAAGGTGAAACCTTCTCGAGATCGGAGCGTGCGGCGATGGAAACTAACGCATTATCTCTCCGAATTATAGATCCTTTGACTGCAAAAGCGGAACGCGATTTACTCCCGCCGGACATTCCCCGCGGTGCTCGCTCGCGCGCTATATCCGCGCGGGCGAGCACGTGTGCGAATATCACGAACAGCGCGAAAACGCGAGCCGGCCGCGATCGTCTCGTTTCGTTCGTCATCCGCTCCGAGAAATTTATTTCCGCACGCGCGTATTAATATACATTATGGAAACATATACTCATCGGCTCTGAAATATCGCGACGTAATTTAAACACAAAGTCTCGAGCGAGTGACAATATTAATATTGCAAAGACGTCGTAATTACTACACGAAGCGGAAGAATACCACGCATTCGTGGTCTGCATGGTACGAGAAAGAGAGAAGGGAGGAGAGAAAGAGGAAGGCAGGAAGAGAACGTGCCAAAAATAGCCGTTTCAGCGAAACGATACATCCTCCGAAGACACGCTATAATTCAGAATATTATTTAGATCAGAAGACGCTATGCGACGGCTATAGGACGGCAAAATCCGATATTGTTATTTCTAGCGACACACCGTGTCACCGTAACTCCGCTCTGCATCGAGCGCAGCTGGTATTACAAGAAGATCGTACATACATCGTTGTCGTAGTTGTTGCTGTGTTTGTTGTTGGAGTATCAGAAATGAAGCGGAAGGTGAGCAACTCGAGCGTGCACAAAATCGTAGATATAAAAATATAAATTCTTTAGGCCGCGGCCGCGCGATACTCCCTCCTGTGTCCCTCTTTCCTCGGCGGAGCAATATTAAGGGGGGAATCGAAAAACCACGCGGAGACTCTCCACGAGTCCCGGCGTGATACGCAAAATGCGCGCGACTTATTCGCGCTCTTGTTGCCCCATCCTTTTTATTGCGTCGGAGCGAAAATCGGCCCGTGTAATTGTCGCGGCGTGTAATTATCGTGGTGGCGGTGTCGTCATTAATATTAAAATCAAAAATCTCCGGAGTATTGAAACGATCGGCGGGAAATGTGATAAATTATTCATATATATATATATATAATCGAGATTCCCTATTAAATCACTTATTATTATATTTTCGATTTTCGATAATACGCAAATGAGCAATTAGCCGGCTCTCTCTCTCTCTCTTCTCTCTCGCGGATGTAATTTCGGTTTCTGTCATTATCAACAACGTGAGAACCCGACCAATTTCTGCCTTCAAATATCATCACGGACACTCGCGCATGCCTCGCATACGGAGATGCATT